TTTAGGCGTATTTCTGTTGTACCACGTATTGACATTGCTTCAGAATTTACAGCTTTGAGTTTGCTTGAACTCTCTGACAATTTCAGGCCAAATTTTACCACCTTTCTCTGGGCAACAAAGTTGTGGGTCCACCATGGCCTGAACTTCCTTGCCATTCACCCAGGCCTAAACAAACATGAGGCCTTTACGGGGTTGTTAAACTTTGTCCACTATAATTGCGTTCAGCAACTGGAGAGGGTTGACTCGGGTAGGACAGTCATCATCACTGTCATTCTCACTTACAATAACAAGGGCACTTAACTTCTCCCTCTTGGGGCAGTCTTTGACACGATGGGGGCTGCCGTAAAGAAAACAACCAGAATCAAAAGATTACTTCTTCTGGTTGTTGTTTGGCTTGTTAAAGTTAGCAACATTCTTCTTTTTCTTCCAATCCACTTTCTTTGCGTCTTTGGAAGTGTCAGCCTTATCTTTCCTGTCGCCACCATCCTTTTTCTTTTCCTTAGGAGGGCCTTGGTTGCTGCCCATTTTAAAGTCAACAAGGTCATCTGCTACAGAAATGGCAGTGGGCATATCATGTACCCCCTGCCTTCGTAGTTCAGCCTGTGCCCAACCTTGCAGTCCAGACATAAAGTTGAAGAGTTTGTCTTTCTCTGACATGTTCTTGATGTCCAACATCAATGAACTAAACTCCTTCATGTAATCACGAACTGTTCCGGTGTGCTTTAAATTTTTGAGTGAGTCCCTAGCAATCCAAGTTTTATTGCTAGGGAGGAATTGATCCTTCAATTCCTTTTTCAGGGTCTCCCACGTCTTGATCTTTGGACGACCAACAGAGACATCGTCCACATTCTAGGTTCTCCACCACAATTTGGCATCATCAGATAAATACATACTGATGATTGTTACTTTCTCTCCATCAGGCACATGGGCTGCCTTAAATTACTGCTCTATGTCCCAGAGGAAATTCTCCAGATCCTTAGCGCTTCAGGTACCTCCGAAGGTCTTTGGTTCAGGGACTTTAATCTTTGAAGATGTCTCGCCTACAGTAAGACGAGAATTCATGACTCTCTTCACCAAGGACACTTTATCTTCAAGATCCTTCAAATTCATTTTGACAGCGTCTATGAAAGACATGATATCCTCCATCATTGTTACAATCTTTGTATCGGTGTCAGACACATAACTATCAAAAATCATCTGTAATCCCACAATCTGAATAGCGTGATGTTCCATCTACACAACCACGCTGGTTGCACCATCTGTCTGAGGGGCGCCCAGAAAATCTTCGAGACAGGCAACACGTTCTCGTAATTCAACAGCGTTTCCACCAACCATGGTCGCAAACTGAAGCTTTGATACCAATTGTCACGGGGTTAAATTTTTCACCAAATTTCTGCCTCGCGATGGCACTAAGATCCAACACTTAGTCTCAGCCAAACACTCAGAATGCACACAAAATGCACATAGAACAGAGAATGGACAGTAAATAAACACACAGGCAAGGCACACAAAATTTACAGGCAATAGTCAAACCTTTCTTTCCCAATAAAGTATAAGGAACTTAACCTTCAGATCTGTTTACAAAAATGTGTCAACTCTCTTGTTGCATTACAGACCCCAAGCACCCTATTTATAATATTCAGGGTGGCAGTTACAAGCCCAACTACCTAGGCATATGTCTGTAATTCAAATGCTACCAAAGATTTGTTGTGATTGGATGACAGGGAAGTTATAACTGGTATTTGCATGCTTGTCTGAATCTGACAGAGATCCCACATGCAATGCACTTGCTAGAAAACTGTCCAGAACTGCCACCATCTGCAGAACACGTGCCCAACTTCCTCACATGTTGTGCATGTGTCAGGAGCCCTCAGCATCCGAATTGCATTACATTCGTGCCTAATCATGGCCCAGCCCATGGCTCATTATTCAAGCTAGCATCGCCCCACAATTCAAGCCACCCGTTTCCTTGCTTGCTTGCTGACTTGTGCCCACGTGCCCATGTGCATGAACTGTCTCCCTTAGTCATGCATGAGACTTCTGTCATTTTGGCTAAGGCATGAGTGCCTATGGGCAAGGCTACTCGATGACAAATGATGCCAATGGCTAAGGGGATAACATTATACCACTAAAATCTGTGTAGTTATCAGGTTCTGATAAACTAAATAATGATAAACTTTTACGTTAGTGTGCACTACGATGCTAGCGTTGGTTGCTCAAGGACGAACATATATACACAAAAGTAATGACTTGACACAACACCGATCAATAATTCAAAAAATTCACTAAACACTAAGATGTATAGTCACTTATTACATTAAAAATACATTGATGACTATACACTGACATTAACCACATTGATGATTAAACACTGAAACTAACAAAACACTGATGATTAAACACCGAAACTAACAAAACACCGATGATTAAACACTGATACTAACAAAATAACAACGACAACACAAAAAAAATTTTAGTCATTGTCTCTTTCTTTTAACAACCACGTTTTCTTTCGTCGATGATAGCTCAGTAGGTGGAGTGTCATGATCAATGACAGGGAGATCAAGTGTAGGTGGTAGACAAGCTCTTGAGGTGTGAGGAGTAGATGAAGACGCCAGACACGGGTCTGCATGTAATGAAGTGGAAGCAGTATCCATGGCTGATGAAAATGTTTGTCCAGGAGCTCGTGTCACTATCGTTCGTGGCATACATATACAACGATGCGGTGCAATAATTGGTGGTGCAACTGTTGGCCGCCTAATGCCTGACGATGCTTGGACAAGACGTTGGTGCTCACTAATAGCTGACAAACACCTGGAGCTAACATCCCCGATTTGGCTCATAGCCGTCAAACAAGTACTCAAGTTTGGCTGGCCATTAACCGTATCATTTGTTATGTGATATATCTGCGTAAGTGTTTGTTCCTACATAACCATACAAATGTTATTAGTACCATATGAAGTGTTTGAAACTAACATGTTAATATTAACTAACAATTTAACTACAGATATCGCCAACTCAATGATATTGAAAACTCCGGTTTGACTTCTATTAATGTCCTCCGTCTTCACATACAAATCAATACTATTCATGATGTTGTTGTTCAACCCCAAATTAAACATAGCGCCCACAAGTTCATCATTCTCAATTTTCAATTGGACATATCTACTCATGTTTAGTCCCAGTGTAGCGGAATATCTACGTATCAGTTTCAATTGGTACTGCGACTTGTCTAACCCTATTACAGTGTAAATTTTACTCAACAAATCTTGGAGTGAAAAACTGTTTATAACAATGCCGCATCTAGGAAGAGAATCGTAACATAATCCCTCCGATCTGTATAATATTTTTCTGCCCCAATACAAGAATACAACAATTTTAGACCCCATCATTTCGAACAATATTGGTACAAGTACCGAGAGAAAAGGTACCTACAAATTATAAGAGAATCAATGTTTAGTCAACAAAATTGGATAAAAGACAGATCAATGCTAGCCAGGGTAATGCTAATCTTGATAATAACTATGAATTTTCAAAATCTAAAGTCAAATAGAGCTTGAAATATTTTTTTCTCAAGCCACTCACTTAAGGCTGAGCCGAAAGTCAATTTGTATAATCGACACTAATGTAATATCTTGATAGTATGGAATATCATAAATATCAATATCAGAGATAATAAGAGTACCAAATTGAAATATGCATCAATCAATTTCTATAGCAAATTCTCTAGCAATTGAAATATGCATCATTTGAGACAACAAAATTGAGAGACCTAATTAAAATATGCATCAATTGAAAGAAAGTATCAATGCAGCAATAGCAGAGAGAGAGAGAGAGAGAGAGAGAGAGAGAGAAAATGTTAAGCAGAGAGAGCGTGAGAGAATCAGGGAGAGAGATAACGAGAGAGAGAGTAAGAGACTCACAAAGAGAGAGAAGCAAGAGAGAGAGAGAGAGAGTAAGAGATAGAGAGAGTGAGACAGAGACAGGAAAGATAGGTAGAGAGAGAGAGAGAGAGAGAAAATGTTAAGCAGAGAGAGTGAGAGTGAGAGAGAGAATCAGAGAGATAGAAAGTGAGAGAAGCAGAGAGTGACAGAGATAGAGAAATAGAGATACCGGAGCTTAGGCTTGGAGAGAGACAAATTCTGGCAGCTGTTGGAGCTCCGGTGGACGACTGGTGCCTTCGTTGGTGGACCCACGTGCTGATTCGACGGATTGAGGATAGGGCTTCGCTGGATTTGGGGATGGGACTTCACTGAAGACGATCCTTCTCCGTACCGGGGTTTTCAGAGCAATGGAGGTGGGTTGACTGGTGGTGGTACTCCGGTGGCTTCGGTGGCGGTGGCGATTCACTGGTGGAGATGGCGATTAGGGTTAGGGATTTGGGAGTTGGGCGTATGGGAGTCACAGTAGAGGACAGAACAGCGAAGAAGAGGAAGAGACGGGTGGGCTGGGTTTTATAACGCAAGAAAACGTCAGTTCTACCGTCGTTTTTGAAACTAGCTGGGTTTAGAAAATATTTTCAAAATCATCCGATTTTGGTAAAAAAAAAAATTCCAAATCACTTTGGTTAGGTAAAAAGCTCGGGAAATCAGCCTACTGTTATTGGATTAGACTGGTATTTAACGGCAATGACTGTGTGGAAACAGCTGTGATTGTTATGAATTCCAAATTGGGATGCATTGGTATTGCTTGGACTTTGTTTGACAATAGGTCTGAAAGAAATGTTGTGTCATGGAAAGCGATTATAATTGGGTTATTCTGATTATGGTTTTGGTCATGAAGCGCTTCTGCCTTCTAGTTTGACGTGGAGTCGAGGTTTTTCTTTAGAATTATGAGCTTGACATTAGCTTCTTTGATCATCGAGTATTTACTAGTAGGAACCGAACGCATGGTTTGACTTCTAGAACCGGATTTGAAAGTAACCAACTTATGAAATCAGCTCTAATGAAGCTTATGTAGATGCAAATTGCGTTGATGATGCCTATTGTATATTCAATGAGATGGCTGCTAAGGATGTGGTTGATTGGACATTGATGTTAACAGGTTTTCCAAGTAGTCGATTTTGGAACAAGGCCAGAGAACATTTCAATAAGATAATGGAAGTACAAGAGCTAGAACTGGATCCTGTTGCTTTGATGGGCATGCTTTCAAGCTGCAGCCTTTCTGGAGGTTTGGGACAAGGCGGACGGGTTCATGCACTGGTGGTCAAAAGCAGGTTTTAAGGTGATACTTTTGTGGGATCAGCTGTCATAGACATGTATGCAAACTTTGCTGATTTGGAAGATGCAGTAAAATTGTTTGAAGGGATGAAGGTGAAGCATATTGTGTACTGGAATGAATTCTTTGCTGGTAAAGGGATGAATGGTTGGGTAATGATGCAGTTGATCTCTTTATGCGGATGAAGCTTTCAGGCATAAATCCAGATGAATTGACCCAAGTCTGTGTCTTGTGTGCTTGTGTTCATTCTAGTGTGGTTGATCAAGGATCCAGATTTTTGATCGATGATTGAAAGTTGGAACATAGTTCCTAATTTAAAGCACTATGCCTGTGCATAGATTTCCACATAACTTCGAACACTGAAATTTATAGCACTGCTCTACTCTGTTTCTACACCATGTTATTACACCCCGAGGATGGAGAAGACAAAATTTCCTGGTTCAGTCTGCCCCATGCATTGGATTATTGAATGTTTCCTTGCTTGGCCATTCATCAGACTGACTCAATAGATGTTGACATTTTTCTTACCTTCACAGCTGGACTGTTCAACAGTGTCAAAAAAGTTGTTGGTCTCAAACTTAAACTAGCTGACACTTAGAAACATCATAAGTTTCTTTAGAGATATACCACAGTTTCACATAGTCGATTCTATATAGTTGGGATAAGATGTTGAAATGAAATGCATTATCCGGTGAAACTAATCCAGCTAGAATGTAAACCAATATTTCTTTTATTTCCATTTTTTTCAAAAATTGTTGAATAAGGATTCAAGGAATAAAAAAATAACAGTAACTCCAAGACATAAAATCATGCAAAACTGTGTCTGATCACNGATTCAAGGAATAAAAAAATAACAGTAACTCCAAGACATAAAATCATGCAAAACTGTGTCTGATCACATTTCAAACTCACACTTCTTCAGAATTGGAAGGGGAACCCCATTTGCTGGCAAGATAGGAGCTTATCATCTCCCTGATCATACAATTGTACCAGCACCTGTGCACTCAAATTCATCAACTGCTCTGAAAATATGGACTCGCATATCGTGCTTATCCACAAGCTCAAATATGCATGTATCATCTTGCTTTAGCTTGTTATCCACTACAAAGGCACGCCATCCTCCACTAACGGAATAGCTTCCTCCAACAGGGATAACGTTCACCATCCAAACAATCCCTTGTTCATTTCGCAGTACAAACTTTGTTTTGAGATGATCAGCTGGTAGGTGCATCTGAGAGAAAAACTTGGGTATGCGCTGCATGAATACAGTCAGTCAGTTATGCAGCTTATACAGCAAAAGTTCCATGTTAATCATGGAGATAGGGAGAGGCCCAGTGTTGAAGTCTATGCCCAACTACGCCAAGCCAGTATTGATTCCCAAAATTCTTTTGCTATACTCAAGGAACTGAGGAAGCCATAAAAGTTTTGAGGCTAATTAAGCTCGACTTTCTGGTACTTAGAGACAAAACCAAAGAAAAGCCTTGGTGAGGCAATAACATGGTATACTTACCAGGAAAAATCTCTTTTGCNAAGCCATAAAAGTTTTGAGGCTAATTAAGCTCGACTTTCTGGTACTTAGAGACAAAACCAAAGAAAAGCCTTGGTGAGGCAATAACATGGTATACTTACCAGGAAAAATCTCTTTTGCACATTTGACTCTTTCAGGCAGCACTTAAAATAAGGGAGACTGGAGGTGAAAGACGCAACTCTTTCCCAAATTGCATCTCTTCCTTCATTTGCTGGAGATTGCANGCACATTTGACTCTTTCAGGCAGCACTTAAAATAAGGGAGACTGGAGGTGAAAGACGTAACTCTTTCCCAAATTGCATCTCTTCCTTCATTTGCTGAAGAAGAATGCCTTGTTTGTTGATCTGTTTCCTGAACAGAAAGGTTTGTTTGTAGGGTTTTGATCTTTCGTCTGGTTTCTTCATCTCCATATCCGCTAAGCCTTGAATTAACTTCCTGGATATTTCTGGCCATTTCTTTCATTCTAGTCTTCTTTTGTTTGCCTTTCTCCTTGTTGGACTTTTCTGGTGTGTGAAATTGGATGGTGTTAAATTTTCCCATATAAAACTTCTCATGTTCTTTCATGCCAAAAAATTGATGCATAACCAAAAATAGGAGTTGTCCCTTTGATTCTACATGCTTATTTAGAGTTTCCCCAATGCAAGTCAATATTATGCATGTCAATGTATTTCTATTAAGCATGCTTATCGTATAAAATTGTTTGTTTTGATCTCTATCATCAACTTCATAGTTCCCATGCAACACTAAATATTCATACCTGAACTAAAATTGCAAGGTTTTTGCGGGTGGAGATTCAAAGGACCAGCAGCATTTTTGCTTGGTCTGCCACGTTTCTGTTGATTGCTGGAGGAGGCAGTTGTTTCTTGGTGCTTGCAAGTAATTGATTCATCAATTCTCTCCAATCCACTTCCATCAAAAATCTGGATGCTGAAGTGCATATTTCCCTCATATGTAAGAAGTATGAGCTCATGGTTACCCAAAGAATGGTCTCTTAGAAACTCAGGCCAACCGTCCTGCAGAAACAGACCATCTACTTTCTTCCTCAGTTTGATTCTCCAATGGCTGCCAGAAGGGCCCTTTAGAACTGCTATGTCCAATTCTTCTTTCGATAAATGCTTCATAAAGCAAGGTGGGATTCTCTACAAATTGCAAAGAGAAAAGATGAGAGTAACCAAGGACATTCAGCTCTTCGCACCGATATGACGATGAAACCAAACTCTAAGGTTAGCAGTATTATTTTCCATACAAGTAGTCTGTGTGATTTAGTGACAAACCTTACAATATCGGGCATTTGGATGTGATTAGACTTTTTTTTCTCTCTTTCCCTTTTCTTTGGAATTAGAAACCCTTTTGGCTTTGTTTACTTCAGTTTTCATGATTTGCACTTTAGGAGGCTTGTGCTACAAATTACTTATCTTCTTAGCATCATTACAGTGAATAGTTCAGACTCAACACCACAAGGCAATGGTATCTGTTCTTGTGCTCATCAAACTGAACCTGATCTTCACCCCCTCAAACATGGCATAATCCCTCCAACATGGTCAGAGCTTATCAATAGATTTATGAAATATAAGTTATATGATTCCTAGAGAATTCAAAAATTCAACACCAAACAAAAAAAAAAAAAAGAAAAAATCCATATCCTCTCGATTTTTACCGTGCTTTTTTTATTTCATTAATCAGATTATGACATCTTCAAATCAGCGTCTGATCATCCCTTCTCTCCCAAAAAAAAAATTCCCACAGAATGTTATATCGGTTATCATGAGAACCTACAAGCCTATCTCTGTGGTAAGATATATAGGTGCAAATCATAGAATAAAAAGGGTGGTCCAGTGCACAAAACTCCAGGCACTAGAAGGTTTGATGTACGTAACTTTAGTCCACATGTGGAATGTATATATAGTCGCAGAATGTATATGTTTCATTTGATATTGAAGAATACATATGTGAAGTTGTCATGAAAAAATGATAGTAAGTTTACCAGTGCTTCAGCATGGCCATCAAAGATAATCTTGAAGAAGCAAGGTTTATCATCCCCAAACATGGTCATGGTGCTATCATTTGTCACCATCTCGTCCACCATTTCTGTAAATTTTCGAGTTTTGAAGAAAAATAGAAGGTTTTGGAGAATGCTAGGGCCACAATGAGCCAGATTGGATGAGAGTGTCAACTACTGTACATTGTTCAATGTATATATTTATTACTTAGAGCTTAGCTTGCATGGAATCCACATATTTTCCAAGTAAGGTTATCTTGATCTAAAGCTGCCAACTTTAGACATATTTCGCAAGTCGGACACGAAATTGACATAGAGATAACGGGTTTGAATTTAAATAAGACGGCTTATATACAAACTAAATCAACTCTAGAATGTGGTTTAAAATGGGTCGATACCACCCCGGTAAAATAGGAAACGAACTCAACTAACACGGCTTATACACAAACTAAATCGTCTACAGGGGATAATAAGTCGGTTAAGTATGAATTGAGAAATTTTAACAAGATAAAAGATTACATCATTTAAACTATGCAGCACCACTCATTGATAATCTTATTTGGACCTCATTTAATAGCTTAATTTGTTATTCACGTCAAAAACAACTGTTCTACCATAAATCAAGTTACCATGCCAGATCCGAAATAGCATTATTAATCTTTTTCATTATGCTGGAAATGACAACTCATACATTTACACCTATTATCTCATTGGATTTTTTAGACAACCTATTATTATGAAATCTAAGAAGAATTAGATATATACAATCTTACCCCTCCAAAACTAACCTTATTAAAGAGAGTCGTTAATTTTCTTTTCCTGGTTTCCTTATTTTTATGCCCTGTTTTGCTCTCGAAACAATCGATTAGCTTGTCTATGAATTGTTCTAGTAGAAGGTGCATCCCACATATGTCACTGTTTCGGCCAGTGACACTTGTGTTTGTCTTTATCCCGGGACAGTAACATTAGAGGATTTCAAATTTTGAAAGGTTTAAAATGGAAAAGATTTGAATTTATTTTAAATTTTAAAATGTAAATTTTATATAAATATTATTAATTTTTTATTTTTTATTTAATAAAGGTAAATGAGTCTTTAAAATGAATTTATCCTTCAAGACCTAAAAAAAAGTATTTGAACCTCATGACTTAAAAACATGACTGACCACCAAAAAACTCTTATTTATAATCCGATGAATAATACTTATGTATTTAACTTACTATATTTATAATCGTAAGTTTAAGAAAAGACTATTTATTTGTAGACAATCTGAATGTCAAACTGAGTGTTTAAAGTGTTCTTATTGAAATCACTAACACAATCAGATTATTAGGGTCCCAGAGCCATTTTTGAAATGTTACGGGACGTTCGCATAATTACATCAAATGATAAGAGTTCATATGGAATTTTATAAATTATGGACACTCAGATCATCCCTGTTCAATAAAAGAAGGAGAAGAAGATCACCACAAATGTGATGGAAAAGACCATGAAAAAGAACTGGACCACATTTTAAGCCAGTTTTAATAACNTTTTATAAATTATGGACACTCAGATCATCCCTGTTCAATAAAAGAAGGAGAAGAAGAACACCACAAATGTGATGGAAAAGACCATGAAAAAGAACTGGACCACATTTTAAGCCAGTTTTAATAACTTACAGAGAGATTACTCACTGGTTACATCTCAATCAGACACTTTTAACAAGAACATCACAACTGAAGAACCAGTTGCACCAGCAAGAGGCAAAGGCTTCAGGGTGTCACCTTAAACTTTCAACAAGTTGCAAACTCAAACTTCCATGCCTGATTTGAAAATGTGAACCTGCATTTCCTCTTTTCCCACAAGCTCAAAAATGCAGCAATCATCTTGCTTAAGAAGGTTGTCGCGTACAAAGGCACGCCACTCTCCAACAAAAGCATGAGTTTTACGTGCGGTAAGGACTGTGTTCACAGTCCAGGATTTCCCCTCAGAATTCCGTAGGACAATTTCCAATTTGGATTTTGGAAGGTGCAATTCAGAAAAGGAGGTGGGAATGGGCTGCAAAATAGTTTACCATTTTTTAGTGAAAATGGATCGATACTCAACACAAAACAACCAACCAAAGAACATAACTATGCGCAAAACCAACAGCTCTTATGGACTGGTGCTATGAAGATCTATACAAACCAACTATGAGAAAAATGCATCAACTAAAATAGAGCTTGCACTTCAAATGAAGGGATATCAAGTGCATTTTTTCAGGGCAAAGTGACAATGCAACAAATGTCATGATCTCATGAAATTTTCTCATTAGCATATTGGCTGATCCATATAGACCACCACAAACTGCGGAGTGTACCAGCTTCTACCGATTTAGATTGACATATCGATGCTTTTTGATGAAACCACATGATTACTGATGCCACCTAAGGGCTATAAATGCCGTAAAATAAATTAAACTGGGTACAATCTAGTAAAGGCAGTGAACCATAATGCATGATTATTACAATCAGATCTCCAAGATAATTGGCAATGCCAATAGGCCCAATACTGGTACGTATATCTTGGTTGAGCAAAGCTCAAAGTAATCATTTAGTTAAATTCTAGGTCAAGTGATGTGGCAATGCTCAATGCTCATAAAATTGATTTCTAATATCATATACCAATAAGTTGTAGTGTTGTTTATATGCAGAAACCTTAAAGACTAATGGTTACACACACTTTCCCACAGTAACAAACCTGAGAACCCTGATCAAAGTTAATGAAAGGATACATTTGCCTGTGAATATAAAACAGCTCTGTTGTGTAAAATTGTTTAATTTATAGGTAGAAGAAAGGAAAGGTAATCGGGCAAGAGAGATCAATCTCAGTTCAACAAGAAGGCTGTAGATAACAGATGTAGTCTGTATCTACCAGGATTTTAGACATGCATCTTTTTAAATGAAGATATCCTGATACATTTTTAGTTTACCAGGTGGTAATAGGTAAACTGGAGTAACTTTCAGCTGTATTTACCAAAACGAGGCAGAGAATGGGTATCCCCATCTGCATGTGTGTGTGTGTGCAGACATGCACATATGTTGCATACTTTTATGGATGATTCACACTTGTACATATAGCAGTGGGTGCGCAGACATGCGCATATGTTGCATATTTCGAAGAATAAATAACACTCACCTGAACATATACTCTGTCCACACTATACTCCTTCAAACAGATCTTGAAATAAGGAAATTTGGAGGTGAAAGACTCGAATGTTTTCCAGATCCTTGCTTTTCTTTCCTCAGCTGGAGGCTTCATTATTGACAAATTAGGTATAATTGCTCTTCCTTCTACAGCTAGAGGCTCCCTTATTGAAAAATTAGTTTTAGTTGCTCTTCCTTCAGCTGGAGGATCCCTTATTGAAAAATTAGGTATAGTTTCTCTTCCTTCTTCAGCCATAGGCTCCCTTATTGAAAAATTAGGCAGTTTCTGTTCATTTGAATTGATATTCCTTTGGGCATTCTTCCTTTCAAATTCCTCGGAGCTTGAATCTGTATCCAGGAAATGCAGGTTCATTTCCTCAGTTTTGATCTTTCTGTGGATGCCTTCCACTGTAAATCCCTCGAGGTTATTTGATGGGGGGTGCAGAAGGTGTTGATCTGCATCACGTCAAGCACAGCAGAGATATCATTAGTCCACCAATACAAATATCTGTATGTAATTGACTGTGCATTTGTTATTGGAAGGTGCATTAGTCCATAAAATATGTGTTTGTGAACCAGTAGACTCGTGTGTGCAAGTGCACATTTAAAAGTGTCATGGTCATTGTGTTAGAAATCAAATTTTGAATGCCCTACCTGGACCTTTTTCATAAGTCGGCTGATGGCAGTCTAGGTTGCCAACAGGGTATTTCCTTGGTCTACCTCGTTTCCTTTTTCCATCAGGAAAAACAGATCCTTGGCACAGTGGGGTAGAAGATACATCAGTCCTCTCACATCCATTCTTATTAAAAATTTTCACATCAAAGCACATATTTCCATTATATCTAAAAAGTAGAAACTCATTGTTCCCCAAGAAATTCTCTCTTAGAAACTCCTGCCAACCATCTTGCAGAAACATGCCATTTACACTTCTAAATAATTTAACAGGCCAGTGGTCACCAGAAGGACCCTTTAGAGTAGCCTCCTGAGTCCCTTCCTCCGATATATACTTAACAAAATGTGGTGGGATTCGCTACAAGTTAGAAACATATAGAACAATTAGGGTAAATATTTTGCATCAATAACATGAACAAAGGGAAATGATGCAGCAAGAATAATATGAGTGTTAATGCCAAAAAAAGTGTACATTTACACTACTTTAGGGCCACAATTAATCTGCATCAATAGTATTTTTCAAGTCTGCACAAATTAAGCCTCTGCTGCAGCTCCTGTCTCATTTCAAATTTTGTCCAATTCTCTTAAAGAAAATGACTGTGAACTACGACATGAGTCACTTGGATTCATGGTGATATTAAGCCTTAAAAGGACTTCGATTCACACAAAAAATACATCAGCAATCTGCAGATGGCCCTTTTGTAATTCCCACATTCACTAATCACGCCATAAATGCCAAATGATTTACTAGACCGTCCATTGCTTTACAAAACCTGATATACGAGAACTATTACGTTGGAGCTTAACAACAAAAGTTATCCAATATCCTTCCCATGAATGATAGAAAATTCTGGGTTTCTGAGAGCTTCATCAATAGACTGCACAGTGCACACACTGTGATTTCCAACTAATTCATACCAGTCTAGTTGTCGAATCCAATGCATTAGCTTGAAAAACTCACTCTTTCATAAATTTTGCAGATTTTACAAAAATCAANTGCACACACTGTGATTTCCAACTAATTCATACCAGTCTAGTTGTCGAATCCAATGCAATAGCTTGAAAAACTCACTCTTTCATAAATTTTGCAGATTTTACAAAAATCATTCAATAAAACCCCATTGATCGAGCATTTACTGTTGCAGATGAGAAGACCAAAAAACTCTTCTATCTCTAGCAAGATTAATAACAAATGACCAAGGAATAATATTTTTTTTTTGTTTCCCGAAAGTGACTAAGGAATAACTTGACAAAGCAACACTATTTATAACCATGCATGGAACTGATGCTGATATACTGAGATGAAAATAGTAAAGTGAAGCTTAAAACTTTGCCCGAGTTTTCAAACTAAACAAAGGATCCTTAATTGTATATTGAATAAACATCATCCAAGATAAACCAAATACCTAAAAATAAAAAAAGGCACCCAAGAGAAACTTAAAAATAAATTGTAAAAAAAAAGAAAAGAAAAAAAGACCCGTAAATATGCAGAACTGAAAACTTTGCCCTGAGTTTTCAAGCTAAAAAACAAATCCTAATTGTTAGATTGAATAAGCGTCGTCCAAGACAATCCAAATACCTAAAAATAAAAAGGCACACAAAGAACCTTGAAAATAAATTCAGAACAAAATGCCAATATTTAGGTGTTCATGTACCATACATACATTATAAGCCTAACCTATATTGGCGCAGAAGCTTCAAAACTTACCAACTGTTCACTGATGCGATCAGCAAATATAATCTTGAAGAAGGCCGGCCTGTAATCTGAAATCAAACTGTTTTCCTCATTCTTCAGCCTCCTTTTCTCCATTTTTAGGGTTCAAAGGTGCTTGAAGGCGACGAATCTTTGATTCTTTTATTACCGTAAACAACAATTGAATTGGGTTTCTACTTAAACAACGTATGAAGAAATCAATTAAAAAATTGCATAAATCAAGAAAAGAAAATATCAATTAACGAGGATGAGTAGAACCCTAATTAAGAAAAAGAATTATCAAGTCACGAGGCTGACCGTTGCATTGAATACTTTCTTCCTCACACCAGAGCTATCTAGGGTTTATCTACTGGTAAAAGTATCATCTTTGAAGATTTTCATATACCAATTTGAATCTATGCTCTCTTAATTCCTCCACTATCAAAAGAATCTCTCGGATATTTAAATTTCAATTCCCTCTCCCATTATTACTCTGCATAAACAAACCTAACTAGACAATTTATATTATTTTGCTTGGTATTAATTTGTCTTTTGCACCTGGTTACCTTATGCCTTGGAATATTGTGTCAATGAAGGTTGATCTCACCAAATTTTACAGAGTAATGCTATGTACACTAAGAATGTGCACTAAAATTTATACCAAATTATTTACGGTCGTTGAATTAGCAGATCTAATCACTTATTTAATGACTACAATTAATTTGATATAAGTTTTGGTGCACAAATTTAGTGCACGTAAAACTATTCAATTTTATAACTACTCAACTTTTATTAAAGTAATGGCATTTTTATTTTCTTTTATTTGTGTGTATTAAATGATGGAATGAATAGAGATGTGTAACATGTAGCATAGTGAATCTTGAAAGCTTTGCATAGCGTTTTTATTCTTGATGAACAATAGTAATTAATTATAGAAATAGAATAAACAACTCCTCTATGTTTCAGAGTAGAGTGGTGGCTTGTGTGGCGATATGGCAAAAACTCTTGCAATATGCCGCCTTTGTTTGATTATTCAATGAATGAATGCGTTGTTGATAAATAGCATAACAGGCGGGGGCTTCCTAATCCACTTTCGACCTTTTCCATTTGTTCTCACTCATGGATTTTTCCACTNCACTGTGATTTCCAACTAATTCATACCAGTCTAGTTGTCGAATCCAATGCATTAGCTTGAAAAACTCACTCTTTCATAAATTTTGCAGATTTTACAAAAATCAATCAATAAAACCCCATTGATCGAGCATTTACTGTTGCAGATGAGAAGACCAAAAAACTCTTCTATCTCTAGCAAGATTAATAACAAATGACCAAGGAATAATATTTTTTTTTTGTTTCCCGAAAGTGACTAAGGAATAACTTGACAAAGCAACACTATTTATAACCATGCATGGAACTGATGCTGATATACTGAGATGAAAATAGTAAAGTGAAGCTTAAAACTTTGCCCGAGTTTTCAAACTAAACAAAGGATCCTTAATTGTATATTGAATAAACATCATCCAAGATAAACCAAATACCTAAAAATAAAAAAAGGCACCCAAGAGAAACTTAAAAATAAATTGTAAAAAAAAAGAAAAGAAAAAAATACCCGTAAATATGCAGAACTGAAAACTTTGCCCTGAGTTTTCAAGCTAAAAAACAAATCCTAATTGTTAGATTGAATAAGCGTCGTCCAAGACAATCCAAATACCTAAAAATAAAAAGGCACACAAAGAACCTTGAAAATAAATTCAGAACAAAATGCCAATATTTAGGTGTTCATGTACCATACATACATTATAAGCCTAACCTATATTGGCGCAGAAGCTTCAAAACTTACCAACTGTTCACTGATGCGATCAGCAAATATAATCTTGAAGAAGGCCGGCCTGTAATCTGAAATCAAACTGTTTTCCTCATTCTTCAGCCTCCTTTTCTCCATTTTTAGGGTTCAAAGGTGCTTGAAGGCGACGAATCTTTGATTCTTTTATTACCGTAAACAACAATTGAATTGGGTTTCTACTTAAACAACGTATGAAGAAATCAATTAAAAAATTGCATAAATCAAGAAAAGAAAATATCAATTAACGAGGATGAGTAGAACCCTAATTAAGAAAAAGAATTATCAAGTCACGAGGCTGACCGTTGCATTGAATACTTTCTTCCTCACACCAGAGCTATCTAGGGTTTATCTACTGGTAAAAGTATCATCTTTGAAGATTTTCATATACCAATTTGAATCTATGCTCTCTTAATTCCTCCACTATCAAAAGAATCTCTCGGATATTTAAATTTCAATTCCCTCTCCCATTATTACTCTGCATAAACAAACCTAACTAGACAATTTATATTATTTTGCTTGGTATTAATTTGTCTTTTGCACCTGGTTACCTTATGCCTTGGAATATTGTGTCAATGAAGGTTGATCTCACCAAATTTTACAGAGTAATGCTATGTACACTAAGAATGTGCACTAAAATTTATACCAAATTATTTACAGTCGTTGAATTAGCAGATCTAATCACTTATTTAATGACTACAATTAATTTGATATAAGTTTTGGTGCACAAATTTAGTGCACGTAAAACTATTCAATTTTATAACTACTCAACTTTTATTAAAGTAATGGCATTTTTATTTTCTTTTATTTGTGTGTATTAAATGATGGAATGAATAGAGATGTGTAACATGTAGCATAGTGAATCTTGAAAGCTTTGCATAGCGTTTTTATTCTTGATGAACAATAGTAATTAATTATAGAAATAGAATAAACAACTCCTCTATGTTTCAGAGTAGAGTGGTGGCTTGTGTGGCGATATGGCAAAAACTCTTGCAATATGCCGCCTTTGTTTGATTATTCAATGAATGAATGCGTTGTTGATAAATAGCATAACAGGCGGGGGCTTCCTAATCCACTTTCGACCTTTTCCATTTGTTCTCACTCATGGATTTTTCCACTTTAACATCTTTTTGGCCGACATCTGGATTCCTTCTATTTCGTGTGTGTCAATGCTTTCAGCCTTCCTCAAATAGGGGGTGATATTCTATTCTAAATTAAATCATGGGCTGAGTTCACTCACTTTCATTCTATAAAAAAGAGTTCAATGATACAATCAATAATTATCAAGTGAGATTTATGGGGTTTATTTGTTCAACTTATTTATTTATTATTAATCAATGATATCACGTGATAATAATAACGTGATATCACCATTATATTAAATATCTACTCGCCTCTTGGAGGGCTTGGAGAATAAGGAAAGAAACTCTTCACGTATACATAGAATTTAAACAATATATCATGTTCAATCTAATGTTTAGCAAGTGACATAAATACATATAGAGTCCATGAATTTATATCAAGTTGATTTTTTAAATTGACTAAAATTCTCATTATTAGGGGAATGAAAGAATGAGTATTTGGGTAAAATAGTCTTTTTACCTACAAATATCATTTTTGACAAATATCACTTTTGAATATCTCCTTGAGTTTCATCAAACTCTCATACATGGAATAAAATCTACTATTTATATTGAGTCTAGCCCAATTGCTTAATCTCCCTTAATAATTCTATGATGACCAGGTGCACAAATTTAGTCATCGTAGCATTATTGAATCCTCTTTCCTTCAAAATGAAACAAAAATAGATTATGTGATAGTTATTGACCAAAATTTGAGTAATTTTTCATAAAAAAATGTGTAATATCGATAGTTCTTGACAAAAAATTTAGATAATTCATGATTAAAACTATGCAATTTTAGTAGTTCTTTGATCAAAATTTGATCAAAAATTATCTAAATTATTTTTTTTTGCCTATGTTTAAATATTGACAAGTTTATAATTAAAAATTGTTAGTAATTTGAACGTCGTCTACTTGAGAGATCAAATAGAAATATATTTAATATTTTAAAGATAAAAATGATATAATTAAAATATCAAGAACTAAAATAAGACAAACATTAGAGACTTATAGTGTAATTAACCCTAACTAATTTCATGACTTCAAATTCTCCGCCTAATTGGAGACTCCAACTTCCATAACCGTTTCTGGGACAAGATCCACCCAGGCTGCCGATTTAACCGTTTCGCGCCCCTCCGGCCTTCTTGGTCCTTTCAATCCCTTCGTCTCTCCTGGAAGATCAAAATAGACCCATCAAGCTTCATCATAGATGTAACAATCAAATCATTCTTAATTTATAAAACCCATCTCAATCAAGCTCAATTTTCCTCATTTAATTTCTTTCCATTTTGTCTTCAGTCTCATATCTAAATCGATACAATCAAAGGGTTTGACATCTCAATCAAGGTCAGTCTCGAGGAATTTGAAGCAATATAGAACAAGAATCATCTGAAAAAGCCGTCCCCAAGGTCATTCTTTCTCTGATAAGTTCAATCCCCAATGAAACTCTGTAAAGACTATGAAATTTTATGCAGATATTTGATAATATTTGAAAATAGGGTTTTTTTTATTTTTATATTTTTGAATTCATGTCAAATTTTGATTAATGTTTCAATTATATGATCAATTAATTCTTGAATTACATGAGTTTTTTTTTTTTTTTTNTAATATTTGAAAATAGGGTTTTTTTTATTTTTATATTTTTGAATTCATGTCAAATTTTGATTAATGTTTCAATTATATGATCAATTAATTCTTGAATTACATGAGTTTTTTTTTTGAATTGTTTCATGGCATGGTTGAAGCCCCCTATTCTGTTTTGTTGTTTTTTTGGAGGATGTCAATGTTATGCTTATGGTGCAAATAGTATGAAAGATGGGTCTTTCTTTTTCCGGGTGCCTTCGTTGTTGAATTCATTGAAATAATAGGCTGAGGTTTGTAAATTTTCTATTCTATAGTTGTTGAGATCGTTCATTTCCTTTAATTTTGTAAATTGGTATTTCTAGGGAAAATCATTTTTCGGGTCTAGATTCTTGGGTATTTGGTAAAGAAATTATTCTTGTGCAAGAATTGGTTTTCCATTACTTGATAAGTTTCTTAAATAAAATTAAACAATATGGATCACCAGAATAGTGATGGTTTTCTGCCCCTCTGGTCTAGAATTATGTTTTCCTTTCCCTTTTCTTGATTTAATGACTATGTTTATTTACTTATTTTGAAACTGCTTCAGAAGTGAAGGCCATTGAGTTGGGTGGAGGCAGATTGACCTTACAGTGAAATGGCAGGTGTGATGACACAGATGATGGTATTGATGGTGATGATGATGGTGATCGNACTGCTTCAGAAGTGAAGGCCATTGAGTTGGGTGGAGGCAGATTGACCTTACAGTGAGATGGCAGGTGTGATGACACAGATGATGGTATTGATGGTGATGATGATGGTGATCTCTGCATTTGCGTCGGACACAAATCCTGTATTTGATCCTTGTTCAGATGCGAAGGTTCAGAGATTGGATGGTTTTACATTTGGTCTTGCATTTTCTTCGAGAGAATCATTCTTTTTCAATCAAACTCAGCTTTCACCCTGTGATCGGCGTCTCTCCCTTGGCGATAAGGCTCAACTTACCATCTTTAGGCCAAAGGTTGATGAGATTTCTCTCCTCACCATCAATAGCACTACCTTTGATCCGGTATATTCTTCTTAGTTCTTACATTTCAAATTTAACTTTGTTGCATCTTGCTTATGGGATTGCCTTACTATAGTTAAAAGAATTAATTAAGAACACTTGAGACAAAATTGTAATCATTATTTTGGATTGTGGGTGACGTGGTCCGGGGACTTGGGTTGTGGGAGAATATCACTCTCATATTCGTCTAAGTGGGGTGGTCTAGCAGTCCATTATCAATATACCTAGAGGTACAGTGATTCACTAGGTGGTTGCTATTCTAGCCATGGTATTTGGTATTGAAGGTGCATGAGAAACACTGAATGAGTCCTATCTCCAAAATTTGCATCGACAAGGTCTATTGCTGGTTTCTGCCACAGTCCACCTGGAAGAGTGTCATGAAGTTGGCTTATCTCTGAAATCTGATACATGATGATCGCATTGTCCCTAACAATTTGTCTCGTACTTACAACTCAAAGTCTCTCTTTTAGGGTTCTTATAAACGTAAGGGTNAGAGAGAGAGAGAGAGAGAGAGAGAGAACCTCCTTATAATCTTGGGTGTTACAACATAGGGTAGAACCTTCAGATGCCAGAGGTCAGGGGTCAGTCAGTCTAATACCTCATTTTCTCGAACCAGTGCTTTAGTATTCAGTTTTGCTCGTGCTTTGACTTGGGTTGGGTGAAGGGGGTCAGAATAATTATTCCATGAACCAGTATAGAAAGAGGACATAGGAAGAAAGCGAGAGTGAATCATCCACTTTGCAAAGGAGGCGTAAAGTTGCACTTGAGGAGGAAGTCGGGACCATTTTCTCCTGAAGAGAGAGGTCACGCCACCCCTTTGTCAGCTTCTTGCATACCACAGAATTCATGTTTCTGCAAACTTACAGTACTTGCTATATGACTACAGTATGATGAACAGGCAATGCCCTTAGCTGCTTCTATGTAGGAAAGACTTACTGCCAAAAATGCCAGGGAAAACTTCCTACAACTGAAATCTTGTCCCTTATACAAAATTAGTGCCTCCACAAAAATGCCTGTAGGCCTGGACTNCGCTGCATTTGCGTCGGACACAAATCCTGTATTTGATCCTTGTTCAGATGCGAAGGTTCAGAGATTGGATGGTTTTACATTTGGTCTTGCATTTTCTTCGAGAGAATCATTCTTTTTCAATCAAACTCAGCTTTCACCCTGTGATCGGCGTCTCTCCCTTGGCGATAAGGCTCAACTTACCATCTTTAGGCCAAAGGTTGATGAGATTTCTCTCCTCACCATCAATAGCACTACCTTTGATACGGTATATTCTTCTTAGTTCTTACATTTCAAATTTAACTTTGTTGCATCTTGCTTATGGGATTGCCTTACTATAGTTAAAAGAATTAATTAAGAACACTTGAGACAAAATTGTAATCATTATTTTGGATTGTGGGTGACGTGGTCCGGGGACTTGGGTTGTGGGAGAATATCACTCTCATATTCGTCTAAGTGGGGTGGTCTAGCAGTCCATTATCAATATACCTAGAGGTACAGTGATTCACTAGGTGGTTGCTATTCTAGCCATGGTATTTGGTATTGAAGGTGCATGAGAAACACTGAATGAGTCCTATCTCCAAAATTTGCATCGACAAGGTCTATTGCTGGTTTCTGCCACAGTCCACCTGGAAGAGTGTCATGAAGTTGGCTTATCTCTGAAATCTGATACATGATGATCGCATTGTCCCTAACAATTTGTCTCGTACTTACAACTCAAAGTCTCTCTTTTAGGGTTCTTATAAACGTAAGGGTTGAGTTAATTTATAGCTTGACAAGCGTTTTGCCTGATTGCATTCTTGTGGGTTATCATCTACAATGTCATGTCTAATCAGTAATGTTCCTTCAGCTGCTTGGTCAAAAAATGTGCTAATATTCGTGTCATCTACCATGTTAGAGATTTGGCTGATGAATTCCTTCGTTATTTTTCTAGATGTTGGATGGTTTGCTCAAATTTTTACTCGAGTTCGTTCAATTTTGTTAATGAATTTAAAAATCACAAGTTAAGACATGAATAAGGTTTTCTTATGTGTTTGGGACTCACAGAATATGTATGGCGGGTATATGGTTGCATTTGCTGGACGCCAATATGCAGCAAGATCATTGCCAACATTAGTTGCAGACAATTCTCACACCATAAGAAGTTTTACTCTGGTAAGACCATTAGGCATTGGCATGCTTTATCTTCTTTATAATCTGTGTTTAGCTATATTGTTGGATCATCTTGTTTTATTTTTCACAGGTGCTTGAATTTCAAAAAGGCACTCTCCAAAACTTGTTCTGGAAAAAATTTGGATGCGCGTCGTGTTCTGAGGAGTCTTCTGTTTGCATCAACCACACAGATTGTGCGGTTCCAACTTCCAAGTGCAAAAGCAATGGTGGAACTGTTGACTGCAACCTAGGAATACAATTGACTTTCTCAGGCACAGATAAGAACGATAATGTCCTCAACTCATGGTACGAAGTGGCAAATCTTCGGCAATACTCTCTCTTTGCCCTGTATTCTAATGTTCGTGGTTATATAACTGGACTGTAGAAGTAGTTTTTATATTCCTACACGACCTGTCACTGTACCACAGCCATTTTGGAAATCTTGCATGATGGTGAAATTATTGTATTACACGAAAGAGCAGATTACCCAATAGGCCAGTGTTGAGGCAACATTGGAGCTTAATGTAAGACAACAGCACAGTTTCAGTTAATTATGTATTCAAGGGCTCTTTGGCGAGAGAGAGAGAGAGAGAGAGAGAGAGAGAACCTCCTTATAATCTTGGGTGTTACAACATAGGGTAGAACCTTCAGATGCCAGAGGTCAGGGGTCAGTCAGTCTAATACCTCATTTTCTCGAACCAGTGCTTTAGTATTCAGTTTTGCTCGTGCTTTGACTTGGGTTGGGTGAAGGGGGTCAGAATAATTATTCCATGAACCAGTATAGAAAGAGGACATAGGAAGAAAGCGAGAGTGAATCATCCACTTTGCAAAGGAGGCGTAAAGTTGCACTTGAGGAGGCAGTCGGGACCATTTTCTCCTGAAGAGAGAGGCCACGCCACCCCTTTGTCAGCTTCTTGCATACCACAGAATTCATGTTTCTGTAAACTTACAGTACTTGCTATATGACTACAGTATGATGAACAGGCAATGCCCTTAGCTGCTTCTATGTAGGAAAGACTTATTGCCAAAAATGCTAGGGAAAACTTCCTACAACTGAAATCTTGTCCCTTATACAAAATTAGTGCCTCTACAAAAATGCCTGTAGGCCTGGACACAATGAAGTACTCTTGATGTTCCCAAAAAAGTTAAAAGTGTTCAAATCACACTTTCTCCCTCAAATCTTCCGTCAATCCATTGAGAGTCAGTAGTCATATCCGATCCGAGAGATGGTCACCATTGACTGGATCTTCACTGTGATCATCATCTTCCTCATAATCATCATCACTATCATCATCGTAATTAACATTACCTCCAACACCATCACCGCCATCACGTTTGCTATTTTCCTCTTCCATCTCTAATTTGTTGCCATCAGACTGGGGCTTGGGAATTCCATCAGAAGAGTCAGCTTTCCTATCTGCAAACAAGGACCTGTTGACAGGAAGTGGATTCTCACCCGAATGCACACGATGGATCTGAATGAGATAATGCGCCACCGACCTGAAGCCAAGGCCTAATACCTGAAAAATGAACACNAACTGTTGACTGCAACCTAGGAATACAATTGACTTTCTCAGGCACAGATAAGAACGAAAATGTCCTCAACTCATGGTACGAAGTGGCAAATCTTCGGCAATACTCTCTCTTTGCCCTGTATTCTAATGTTCGTGGTTATATCNACAAATAACCATTGATCCTGTTCTTGTGAGGGGGGTCAGTGTTGCCCATATTGCTTTCAAACGGCCAACCATTAGCCAAATCCCAAATNACAAATAACCATTGATCCTGTTCTTGTGAGGGGGGTCAGTGTTGCCCATATTGCTTTGAAACGGCCAACCATTAGCCAATATAGCTGTAGGAGCAGAATGCTAGCATTCCCAAATCNGAAAGAGGACATAGGAAGAAAGCGAGAGTGAATCATCCACTTTGCAAAGGAGGCGTAAAGTTGCACTTGAGGAGGCAGTCGGGACCATTTTCTCCTGAAGAGAGAGGCCACGCCACCCCTTTGTCAGCTTCTTGCATACCACAGAATTCATGTTTCTGTAAACTTACAGTACTTGCTATATGACTACAGTATGATGAACAGGCAATGCCCTTAGCTGCTTCTATGTAGGAAAGACTTATTGCCAAAAATGCTAGGGAAAACTTCCTACAACTGAAATCTTGTCCCTTATACAAAATTAGTGCCTCTACAAAAATGCCTGTAGGCCTGGACACAATGAAGTACTCTTGATGTTCCCAAAAAAGTTAAAAGTGTTCAAATCACACTTTCTCCCTCAAATCTTCCGTCAATCCATTGAGAGTCAGTAGTCATATCCGATCCGAGAGATGGTCACCATTGACTGGATCTTCACTGTGATCATCATCTTCCTCATAATCATCATCACTATCATCATCGTAATTAACATTACCTCCAACACCATCACCGCCATCACGTTTGCTATTTTCCTCTTCCATCTCTAATTTGTTGCCATCAGACTGGGGCTTGGGAATTCCATCAGAAGAGTCAGCTTTCCTATCTGCAAACAAGGACCTGTTGACAGGAAGTGGATTCTCACCCGAATGCACACGATGGATCTGAATGAGATAATGCGCCACCGACCTGAAGCCAAGGCCTAATACCTGAAAAATGAACACAAATAACCATTGATCCTGTTCTTGTGAGGGGGGTCAGTGTTGCCCATATTGCTTTCAAACGGCCAACCATTAGCCAAATCCCAAATCCCAAACCCAAAAACTAAACCATTAAAAAATAAGGTACAAACATTAGAAATTACTAGTTTGTAAAGCGATATAATTATCCTTCTGAACTGTTATATTGGTGCTGTAATTTATGAGCTAGCTAAACAAAGAGGTCCGTCCCAGAGAAGCATCAAAAGTAGGCAATAAACTATGTAAAGTAAAGAGAGGTTAACGGAGTTAACCTTCCGATAGATATTTCCAGTGGGTTCCCACCCTTTCTCCCGTCGGCAGCGACTACAGTTGCATATTCCACGACAGACGGNAACTGTTGACTGCAACCTAGGAATACAATTGACTTTCTCAGGCACAGATAAGAACGATAATGTCCTCAACTCATGGTACGAAGTGGCAAATCTTCGGCAATACTCTCTCTTTGCCCTGTATTCTAATGTTCGTGGTTATATANGGGGCAATTCCAACCTGGATTCTTGTTTGCTTCTGTTACATTCTCCCCATATCTGCAGAATGGTAGAAATTGCATAAACGAGCCAACACCGCCCCATATTTTTTGCTAGTGACGGGNGGGGCAATTCCAACCTGGATTCTTGTTTGCTTCTGTTACATTCTCCCCATATCTGCAAAATGGTAGAAATTGCATAAACGAGCCAACACCGCCCCATATTTTTTGCTAGTGACGGGAAATATCCAATGAATATCCACAATGCATTATGTTTCTTGATCACAATTGTAGGAATTTCTAAAAGCATGTTTTGTTAATTCTGGTGTCATCTGGAACTAAGCCAGAATTTTACATGAAAATTGCATAATTTCATATTTGACAGCATTTAGATTCATACAAGGAGAAAATCCCATCTTATTTTTTTTTATAAATAATGTATCACGGAATTTATGTGCAAACCAGGAAGAAGTTGAGCTTGTTGTTTTTTCCGATAAGAAATGTGGGACTTGTTTATATGAAATTTGATGTGGGCCTTTTTCTTTTGCTTTGAGGTGCGGGTGGTAATTCTGGTATGACATGTTTATAACTCCAAAAGAAACTCAGAATTCTCACAAGTATCCGCATCGTATTATACCCGTATCACGTATTCGTGTCCATACTTCCTAGTCTATAACAGAGAAACATGCTCTTTGCTTCATGACAATGCCAATATATGTTTTCATTTTACCTCGTGTATAAGCAATCTCCACATAACTGTCCTTGGACCAACCTGCAGTTGCTGCAATCAGTATGAAGACCAAGTGTTTTCTGCCTGCAAGAAATCAGGTAATCGAGTATTGCCTCATCATACTGAAGGAAATCACTAAGAAATGAATAGGATCAAGTACTTAATAGATGAAATCAGCTAATAGCATTGCTATATATTGTACCTTGAGCCCTTACTCGCACCAAAAATAAATAAATAAACAAGATGAAAGAATGAAACATGACTTAATTTATCAAATGAATCAAACAGAAATGACGAATTGTTAATTTCACAGCACCTAAATACATAATATAGTTTAAAACTTATAGCCCTCATCATAATTTATTGCTTCATTTATCCCCACGTAAACAAAGGACTAAAAAGCATTGTAAATTGGCATTTTGAATTCATAGAATACGCTATGAAAATGATAGGCAAGCAATACAGGTACTGGCACCAATTGGATCTCAACAAAAATTAACAAAGCCACCCTCCCACCACCCAATTAGAGTAATTCGTTAATTCCGCACAAAATATGATGAAAAAACCGATATCTTTGTTTTAGGAATAGCTACAAAAGACACAACATTGTTTAGATTGTGAAATATTCATCCTGTTGTATAGGTTGTTGGTGGCAAGAGATTGTAAAATTTTGATTTTTATATATAAGCTCTACCAGGAGTATGGTCACCATCCGATGGCCTTTATACAAAAGCCTGGCAGTAGGAAAGAAATCATTCCAATACTATATTAAAGAAGAACCCACATACATCTTTTCATAGTAAACGAATTCAAGTGTCATGCATAGAGTGAATGGCTACAATTTTGTCTCATGAGTCACTAGTTTGCTTTTATTTCTTTCTATTTCCAAAATTTTTGCGCCATTCAAACTTAATCTACCTAAAATGGAATGAGGTTCAAGTTAGAATCAAATCTCATCCACTGGATTTCAAATGAGGCGTCAACCAAACCATGTTGAAGTGACTGACTCCAAACCTAAAGTGATCTGTAGCCCGACTCTCTCTGCACATTGTGGACTGCTTCACAACTTGAATAATATTGAGCATAGAAAGGAAAACAAGAAAGGCTTCTCATTCAAAGTGACACCATATATAAAGAAAAGGACTCGAAATGCCGCTCAAATCTGTTAAAAGGAACAACCATCATGCTGCCCTTCCCGATGGGGCTGGCCTAAACACATACGAACACAATGCTGGGCATAACATAAATGAAACCGTTAGAAATATATCTTCGCTTGACAGAAAAGAATGGTCGAATGGCGTGCCTCACCCTTCCGGGGTGGGGACTTCAAACTTCTTTTTCCAAAGAATTTTCTCCCCATTCTTAATAGCCTGATTAATTGTTTCCCAAATAATAAATTAACAAATAAACCACCAGAAAAGGAAACCATTAAATTTGAACCTAGCCGCCTCAAAGAATTCACCTAGTGTCGATTCAGGTTTACCAAGAAAGGGTGGTAGCACAGAAGTATGATGATGTAATGTAAAATAAGTATAGGACAAATTTCTCAAAGAAGACGAAATAGGTGAGTTATAAGAAGTATGGGAAAAAATCATTTGAAAATTAGATGACTTTGTGTTCAAATTAGCCACATCCGCTCTGTTGTGTGGGTGGAGCCTCTTTTTCATTTGGAGCTATCAAAGCTAATTTCAAATTCTTAATGGGAACAATTTTTAATATTCGGGGGAAGGATTATCCATCCCAGAGAAAAGGAATGCCTCTATTTATGTTACGCATTAATGCTTTTATTTGTGTTTTTAGGCAGGCAGGAAAAGAGAACTAGCCTTTACTATGACTGGGAAAAAAAAACCCTGCCTAATGTCTCCTGACAAGGCTTACACCATAATGACTTACTCGTTGTTTTCTAACTTAGCCTTAAAAAGTTATAAATTTCAAAATTTCAGTATCGTACTGTTGTGCGGTACCATAGCCTTTCCGAAAGAATGGTGGTCATTCATATTTTGCAAGCATTTCTATCATTACCACAGACATCAGATTTTAACAGAAAGCACTGGATTTACTCCTTCAACCTTTTCTGCATTTAATGGGCCATGCCTTCAGAGCTTAATTGCTTCTAGGGGCTATTGGAGAGTTAGAAGTATGAGACTCCAAGAGCAGGAATGCCCGTGTCTAGTAGAATCTGTTTCGATTGTTCTTTTGTTTGGAAGTATGGAAGAGTGGGAGAAAGAAAGGGGAGGAAAAGGGGACCCCCCCCCCCCGGGGGGAGAGAGAGAGAGAGAAAGTGCAAACTCAATACCTGCACTGATGGCAACTCTTTCCCTCAAATGGGTCATATATGCGATGACCATCTTCGTCATATCCATCCACATACAAAGTCCAAGTTGTCTTGCAATCACCCAAAAGATTTTCATGCTCTTCTGTATAAATCTCAGGTTTTGAACCTTCTTTTATGCGTATATCCAAATTCTGCAGCAATTTCTCTACCTCCCCCTCCTTCTTGGGTGTGCGTTTTTCCGAATAATTAACCGGAGTCCTATTCGTCAACCTAAAAGAACCACAAGTTAGAGAACAAACAAAAAGAAATCATTCTATACACAACACCCGTTGGTTGGTTTGTGGGAAAAATGTAGGAAAGCAGAAGAATGTACCATCTGGGTTTTTCTTTTCCATACAGAAACTCTAGAAAACAGAACATGAACAAGCCAACGACCAAGAAAGAGGAACATACTCTTCAAAATGATCTTTTATATATATTTTATAGTCCAATTTTTCTGGGCAACCAAACAGAGGGAAAAGAAAAGTGGGTACCTCGAAGAGCGTCTTGTGGGCTCAGAAGGGGGTAAGGTGGGCTTCTTCTTGGGTGGGTTTTTTGGAGGGAGAGACTTGGAGGTCTTGAGCTTGCGTGAGAGCTCCAAAATTCCCAGTTTCTCCATCCTCTCCATGTTCTCCTTGATTCTTTGGTCTCTGAACTGCTCATACCCTGCAACTCCATCATTGTTGGTCTCCTGTTCGTTTTTCTTCTCGCTTTTCTGGGTTCGACCTCTCTCCTTCTTGCTCACCATTGCTCTCTCTCTCTCCCCAATAAACGGGGTTTCAGGGAGGGTAATAAAGGTGGTGCTAGTGCGTGAGCATTCGAATGGGCAATGTGAATAAAATACTGAAACGCCTTGAGAACTAGTGTGTCCCTCTGTACGGAGACAGCTATTTTAAGTCGCTCGTTTTTGTAAACAGTCACACCATTAGAGCAACTCGGAGGGATGGCATATGGGGGTGACATATGGGGGTGGCAACCCCATATGCCACCCCAAATTCAACATTTTGAGCTTCGAGGGGGGTGGCATATGGGGTTGCAACCTCACGTGTCACACTAAATTTAAAATTTTAGGCTCCAAGGGGTGGCATATGAAGTTAGAGAATAACATCAAAGTGTGGTATTTTTGACAACTTTATATAGAAAAAATGAGAAGTTGCAAATGGGTTAATGAATATAAATCCATTAGATGAATATAGATTCAACGATTCGTATAGATTGATGAATAAAAATATGAAAATAGTATTCTATTTTGGCACCTGTCATTGGAATATATTTATAATTTAAGGGGTGTCAAAACATTGTTCAAGGTTACAAATGAATAATTTGACACCCAAAAATAACAACTCCCTTCGGAGTTACTCTTTAGAAAATAGTATCAAGACATTTGGGTTGGTATTTTTGGCAACTATGGAGAGAGAAAGGGAGAAATTGTAAATAAGTTAATGAATATAGATCCAATAATTCATATAGATTGATGAATAAAAATATGAAAATAACACCCCATTTTGGCACCTGTCATTGGAACAGATTTATAATTTAAGAGTANAGAAAGGGGAGGAAAAGGGGGCCCCCCCCCCCCGGGGGGAGAGAGAGAGAGAGAAAGTGCAAACTCAATACCTGCACTGATGGCAACTCTTTCCCTCAAATGGGTCATATATGCGATGACCATCTTCGTCATATCCATCCACATACAAAGTCCAAGTTGTCTTGCAATCACCCAAAAGATTTTCATGCTCTTCTGTATAAATCTCAGGTTTTGAACCTTCTTTTATGCGTATATCCAAATTCTGCAGCAATTTCTCTACCTCCCCCTCCTTCTTGGGTGTGCGTTTTTCCGAATAATTAACCGGAGTCCTATTCGTCAACCTAAAAGAACCACAAGTTAGAGAACAAACAAAAAGAAATCATTCTATACACAACACCCGTTGGTTGGTTTGTGGGAAAAATGTAGGAAAGCAGAAGAATGTACCATCTGGGTTTTTCTTTTCCATACAGAAACTATAGAAAACAGAACATGAACAAGCCAACGACCAAGAAAGAGGAACATACTCTTCAAAATGATCTTTTATATATATTTTATAGTCCAATTTTTCTGGGCAACCAAACAGAGGGAAAAGAAAAGTGGGTACCTCGAAGAGCGTCTTGTGGGCTCAGAAGGGGGTAAGGTGGGCTTCTTCTTGGGTGGGTTTTTTGGAGGGAGAGACTTGGAGGTCTTGAGCTTGCGTGAGAGCTCCAAAATTCCCAGTTTCTCCATCCTCTCCATGTTCTCCTTGATTCTTTGGTCTCTGAACTGCTCATACCCTGCAACTCCATCATTGTTGGTCTCCTGTTCGTTTTTCTTCTCGCTTTTCTGGGTTCGACCTCTCTCCTTCTTGCTCACCATTGCTCTCTCTCTCTCCCCAATAAACGGGGTTTCAGGGAGGGTAATAAAGGTGGTGCTAGTGCGTGTGCATTCGAATGGGCAATGTGAATAAAATACTGAAACGCCTTGAGAACTAGTGTGTCCCTCTGTACGGAGACAGCTATTTTAAGTCGCTCGTTTTTGTAAACAGTCACACCATTAGAGCAACTCGGAGGGATGGCATATGGGGGTGACATATGGGGGTGGCAACCCCATATGCCACCCCAAATTCAACATTTTGAGCTTCGAGGGGGGTGGCATATGGGGTTGCAACCTCACGTGTCACACTAAATTTAAAATTTTAGGCTCCAAGGGGTGGCATATGAAGTTAGAGAATAACATCAAAGTGTGGTATTTTTGACAACTTTATATAGAAAAAATGAGAAGTTGCAAATGGGTTAATGAATATAAATCCATTAGATGAATATAGATTCAACGATTCGTATAGATTGATGAATAAAAATATGAAAATAGTATTCTATTTTGGCACCTGTCATTGGAATATATTTATAATTTAAGGGGTGTCAAAACATTGTTCAAGGTTACAAATGAATAATTTGACACCCAAAAATAACAACTCCCTTCGGAGTTACTCTTTAGAAAATAGTATCAAGACATTTGGGTTGGTATTTTTGGCAACTATGGAGAGAGAAAGGGAGAAATTGTAAATAAGTTAATGAATATAGATCCAATAATTCATATAGATTGATGAATAAAAATATGAAAATAACACCCCATTTTGGCACCTGTCATTGGAACAGATTTATAATTTAAGAGTATCAAAACACTGTTCAAAGTTATAAATAAATAATTTGACACTTCAAAATAGCAACTCTCTTTGGAGTTGCTCTTAATACATTTTTGTAAACAATCACGCCTTGAGAACTTGAGTGCCTTGGCATTTTGATTTATTCAAAAAAAAATTAATCTTATATGATTCAATACATTTTATGTTAATAATTTATACGCCACTTAGCTGAAAATCAAAAATTTCATCCTCAATTTCAACTTGAACTCAAATAAGTAAATTAAATCCAATTTTAATAGACTTATGCACAAATTATAGCTACATTTCATCAATAAAAAAATTTCACTTTTGTCGTAAACTTATATGTGCATAATTATCTATTTCATATTGGAGATTTAATATCTCTAAATCAAAATCCATAAAATGAGATGAAATAGCAAAATTTTAGTTTAATTTATCAATAAATTTATATANCCACCGTCACTGTCGCCATCTCCGCCCCCACCACCATCATCGTCGCCGCCACCACACCATCATCGTCATCGTCATCGCCGCCGACACCATCACCACCTCTGCCACGGTCATTGTCACCCACCACAACCATCATCACCTCTTATCACGACCACTGTCACCCACCATCTTTTACCCCTACTATAACCGATGCTTAAATTCATTTATCTTTCTTTTATACTTATGATTTAATTTTGAATATGAATACAAATATGTTTATTGTTTACAATTTTTTATTATTTTGTGTCTTCAGACACAGACAATAACTAGTATATATAATAAAGTAACTTACAATTCAAATTTCAAAAATTAAACAAAATAATTTTTACTTTTCGCAGTTTAGATCACTTTAAATTTGACTTTAAAGTAAATTTAACAACTAATATTAACAATCTAAATTTAACAGAAAAAATAAATTCTTAAAGGTGTGTTTGAAATAATTTTTTAAAAGTAATTTTAAGAATTATTTCTCATAAGTACTTTTAAAAAAAATAATGTTCAAAACCGCCCCACCACCACCACCACAACTGCCACCATCGTCGCCTCCGCCACCACAGTCATTGTCATCCATCACAATCATCACCGGCTCCTACCACCACCACTACCGCCCACCACCTCTCACCCTCACTACAACCGATGTTTAAATTCATGCATCTCTCATCTATATTTGTGATTTAATTTTAAATATAAATACAAATATATTTATTGTTTACCATTTTTTTATTATTTTGTGTCTTTAGGCACAGACAATAATTAGTAATTCTATATGCAACGAATCAAATTTAAAATTTGAATATCACCCCGACTGCACCTTACTACACAAGAGGGCCACCAAAACAACAATAAGATTAAGACGTAAATTAAAATTATTATACAAAATGAAAATTAGTACAAATAAGTAAACAGAATGTGATCAATTTGAAGACTCCCTCTTTCTCTAATGAAATTTCTTCNACCCCGACTGCACCTTACTACACAAGAGGGCCACCAAAACAACAATAAGATTAAGACATAAATTAAAATTATTATACAAAATGAAAATTAGTACAAATAAGTAAACAGAATGTGATCAATTTGAAGACTTCCTCTTTCTCTAATGAAATTTCTTGCTCGGGGTTTTCAACTCAACTCAAAAAAAACCTTATCCCAAATATAGGAACGCAGAACTAATATACGTACACCACGGAAAAAGACGACACAAAACCCAAAAACAATTGAGTCATAAGGTACACAAAGTTCCTAGGGACAAGATTCAAGATGCCATCATAATTTACAGCAAATTATNATCAATAAAAAAATTTCACTTTTGTCGTAAACTTATATGTGCATAATTATCTATTTCATATTGGAGATTTAATATCTCTAAATCAAAATCCATAAAATGAGATGAAATAGCAAAATTTTAGTTTAATTTATCAATAAATTTATATATTAAAATAGCTTACAATTCAAATTTCAAAAGATAAACAAAATGACTTTTGTCATTCGCGGTTCAGATCACTTTAAAATTAATCTAACGACTAATATTAACACTATAAATTTAATAGAAAAAAAAAATCTCCAATGATGTGTGTAGAGTGATTTTTAGAAATTATTTCTCATAAATACTTTAAAAAAATAGTAATTGAAATCCCACCACAGCCGTTGTCGTCGCCTCCAACGCCACTCTCACCATCACCGTCGCAGCCACCATTGTTGTCGCCCTCACCACCACCACGGTCATTGCCACCCACCATAGTCATCACTGTCTCTTACCACCACCACTACAAACCGATACTTAAATTCTTTTATATATTCTCTATATTTGTGATTTGATTTTAGATATGAATACAAATATGTTTATTGTTTACCATTTTTTATTTTTATGTGCCTTTAGGTACAGACAATAACTAGTATATCTATAAAATAAAGTATAATACAATTCAAATTTTAAAAGATAAACAAAATAACTTTTACTATTTGTGGTTAAGATTGCTTCAAATTTTACTTTAAAATTAATCTAATGGCTAATATTAACACCCAAAATTTAATAAAAAAAATAGGTCCCTAAGGTGTATTTGAAGTGACTTTTTAAAAATACTTCTAAGAATTATTTCTCATTAGTACTTTGAAAAAAAAAAGTATTTAAAACCGTCCCACCACTACTTCTATCACCATCACCACACCCACACCCACCACCGCCACCCCCACCACCATTGTCGTCACTGTTATTATCGTCGCATTCGCCACCACAATCATCACCGCCACCACCGTCACCGTCGCCACCACCACCACCCCCCCACTGCCGCCACCGCCACCGTCACTGTCGCCATCTCCGCCCCCACCACCATCATCGTCGCCGCCACCACACCATCATCGTCATCGTCATCGCCGCCGACACCATCACCACCTCTGCCACGGTCATTGTCACCCACCACAACCATCATCACCTCTTATCACGACCACTGTCACCCACCATCTTTTACCCCTACTATAACCGATGCTTAAATTCATTTATCTTTCTTTTATACTTATGATTTAATTTTGAATATGAATACAAATATGTTTATTGTTTACAATTTTTTATTATTTTGTGTCTTCAGACACAGACAATAACTAGTATATATAATAAAGTAACTTACAATTCAAATTTCAAAAATTAAACAAAATAATTTTTACTTTTCGCAGTTTAGATCACTTTAAATTTGACTTTAAAGTAAATTTAACAACTAATATTAACAATCTAAATTTAACAGAAAAAATAAATTCTTAAAGGTGTGTTTGAAATAATTTTTTAAAAGTAATTTTAAGAATTATTTCTCATAAGTACTTTTAAAAAAAATAATGTTCAAAACCGCCCCACCACCACCACCACAACTGCCACCATCGTCGCCTCCGCCACCACAGTCATTGTCATCCATCACAATCATCACCGGCTCCTACCACCACCACTACCGCCCACCACCTCTCACCCTCACTACAACCGATGTTTAAATTCATGCATCTCTCATCTATATTTGTGATTTAATTTTAAATATAAATACAAATATATTTATTGTTTACCATTTTTTTATTATTTTGTGTCTTTAGGCACAGACAATAATTAGTAATTCTATATGCAACGAATCAAATTTAAAATTTGAATATCACCCCGACTGCACCTTACTACACAAGAGGGCCACCAAAACAACAATAAGATTAAGACATAAATTAAAATTATTATACAAAATGAAAATTAGTACAAATAAGTAAACAGAATGTGATCAATTTGAAGACTTCCTCTTTCTCTAATGAAATTTCTTGCTCGGGGTTTTCAACTCAACTCAAAAAAAACCTTATCCCAAATATAGGAACGCAGAACTAATATACGTACACCACGGAAAAAGACGACACAAAACCCAAAAACAATTGAGTCATAAGGTACACAAAGTTCCTAGGGACAAGATTCAAGATGCCATCATAATTTACAGCAAATTATAAAGGTGCCCTGAATGAACAGAAACTCTTGACTGATACTGATTTTCAGAGTCTGCACCCAAAAAATAGAAGCTTAATACCAACGACTACTTCTATACAGATTTCAAAATGCACATTTTTATACAATTAGAATTAGAACGGCACGAGAAGCTATCTCCGTACTTCCCGGAAAAATAATTTCTATATCGATGTCACCTTTCCCCGTTTAATCCGAAAATGAGCACCACGGAAAACACCATTAAACCCATATATCACCTGAACACCTGATCCGGTGACCTTGCCTACTATGTAAGAATCTGACGTTTAAAGCCTCACAATAGTAGGGAAATGAACTCCCCTGAAATGGCGCGCGTTTTACCAAAATGAAACCAATTTCCTATACATCTTAAGCACGCATCTTCTCATGAACATTCAGCACAACATCCCGCATCTCCGGGAAAACTGATACGAGTAAAAGTTCAAGTATTCCATATGCAAGTTGCTTCAAACATATCGTAGACTGCAATTCAAAAATAAAGTTGTGGGATGTTTGGTTCCAAAGAAAACACCATAGCAGAATTACACGTGGTGAAGGCTTATAGTTGACTTTACCTGAAGAAAGTAATAAATATCTTTAGCACAACGCCTATACTGCTTGTGCCCAATCAAGCTGACCAGAGTACTGGGAGCTCCACCTGACAAGAAAAGGGCGGTGGTTAAGTTCTCACTCCAGATTATGATATCCAGTCTTCACAAGAATCTAGAGAGCATGGCTATCAAATAAAGAGAGAATAAAAATAATCCACAAATCTCTGCAGAAATAATGTAGCTGAAGTCCATGTCTAGGATTCCTGATATAATGGCACTTGGGCCAAGCATGGTACGTTGAATTCCCAGTCAGCAAATGGTCAATGTTGATGCGTGGATTTGAAGGCATAGATATGAAAGGCCACCTCGTTCCTCCATAGCATGGAAATTCCAGTATGAGGCAGACACCTTTTCCATTCCATGAAGGACAAAAGATTCTTCCTCCACATAACAGATATGCCTTTGGTCAATCCTTCCCTCCTCCATAGCAGGAAGGATTGACCGACCCGGCATGAGATCAGACTAGCATTACAAACAACTTCACAATATGAAATTGACATCCATAGCCAAGAATTCTTCTCACAAGTGCAAAATGAAACATACAGCCAAAAGAAACATGGAACTCGGACTGGGCTAAATTTTAGGATCTAAGACTATGCTTCACCCAAACGAGAAATGCAGTGTCACACACAGGCATTGAAAACTTAGGGCAGAAATTTAAGTAAACAATGATAAAATAGAACAAAGGCATATCTGATAAAAAGAACTGTAGAGAAAGAGAACAAAACCGTGTAACTTAAAAAAGAATGCAAAGGACCAAAAAGAACTGGCTGTGAGACGGAAATCGCATTTAAGTCTCCTTCAATCTTGCGCTTGCATAAAATGCTCATTTGGGATGAACATCAAATCACTGGAGATGTAACCAGGGAAAAAAATACTCACTGAAGATCATTTTCTTGACATCACTAGCTCTGCGAGCAGCCTCAAGCTGTTGTTCAAAAGAAACTGGTCTAGAGACCTTACTGCCAGCTATTTGGTTTGTAGTTTGTAAAGATCTCTGATTCGGTTGACAGTCATCCATACTGTCTTGAGTATTAAGTTTTGTGAAGAATGTACCATCAGGCCAGAGAACCTACAAAAGAAAACAATCATCAGAACAAACCAACATTTCCAATTGATTCTTCGCTTTTCTATTATCCTTCTTTGTAAATTAAAGAGCAAACAAAAAGGCCGTATCAACAATCTAGATATATTAGAGGCACATTTCACAAATCATAGTCCACTACAATACTTAACCGTCAAATAAAAGTGTTACATGCCCAAAAACTAATTAAAATCTCCATAATATATAATTGAATCATTATCAAAAACTTTAACAAAAGCACAACATGCTCCACTGATCACAACATAACTACTAAAATCAACTCAGCAAAGCATATCAACCGTCAAGAAAAATTAGATCACATTTTACACATCAGAGTGCATGAAGTACTTACTCTCAACTGTTAAAAAATAGCACTATATGCTCCAAGGCAAAATAACTTATGTCAATGTAATAGTCAGTCTTAAAGTTCAAAAAACAGCACAACATGCTCCAATGAATGCATTACAGTTACTGAAATCAATTAAACAAAGCCTTATACCAACGATCCATCAAAAGAATATAAATTCACCATTATGTTTGGATCATTGCTTCAGATAAAGCGCATGCTGGCATTTCATTTATTATTAGCTTAACTCGTATAAACTTTGATCTTCCACTACACAAAGCAGTGCCTTCACACTAACCACGTGGTGCTACCTCATTATTGATGCTGACCAAACCATCTTAGTTAGTTTTCTCTCATTTTGTCTCCAATCCGGGTCAAGGATGAAAATTTCGTCTCATTTCCACCAAAACCTAGTAACATTTCAGTTTCCATGGAAACCAAATTGAATCAATGATGGAATATTGAAATTCCTTAGTTCCCATAGTTTCGAGGGGTTTGAGGATGTTTTTGAAATGTTTTGAAAACTAAATTTCAATTTTTCTTTTGATTTCATTTGGATTCTGAAATGTTTCTGCTGCCGAGTTGGCTGAAACCATGCACCGAAACGAAAATCTGATCGATGATCAGTGTCACTTCTAGTTCTACATCTCATCTTACCACACATCCATTTCAAATGCATTTTGGCCCCCACTCATTTCATGGACATGTCGGCCCTCAACTGCCAATTATTTGTCTCGTAGAGCATGGCAACCCAGCATCCAAATTTCTGTTAAAACAAAACAAACTCTAGAATATCATTGGATATAATTCTGAACATGTGCATGTGAAGGAGTCTTCTACGCAATATTAGTCACAAAAAGAGCTTTGACTAGAAGCATGTGACCTGTGAAGATGTGCATTACACGCATATGCCAACATCGAAAGAGCAATAGCACATGGTCGTCAGTCACAGTTTAAGCATTTGATGCCAGTGCACTCGATCTCCATTTTCAATTCTACCAATCAAATAAATCCCATATCCCACAAAGAATGAAATATTTATCAATACACAATCTCACTGTTTTGAGCCCTCAACCAAGAGGCGGCTTCAGTAAGAACAAATTATAAATTCAAACAAAAATAGCATCAATTGACTTTCAAATTAATACCACCATGCAAGATACATATATTTGAAGGCAAATATCTACTAATATACTGGATTTCAATACAACACAATTACACAACTTAATGTAACTTCCACAACACTGCAAAATATTGGAGTCAATGTCAATATTTAAAACATTATACATTACCCCACATCCTGCCTACTCCTATCTAATATTGAAGTCCGAAGATCAAAAGAATGAAGGATTTTTTTTTTTCCAAATCCCAACTCATGGAAAATTTCATGGACAAAACTACATAGGATTGTTTAGGGTACCAACACATCTCGACATGATAAGTAATGGCAATCACCTAAATGGAATCTTTAATCATACAAGAGAACAGTGGCGGAGCCACATTGGGGGCAGCTGCCCCCACAGCAATGTTGAGAACTTTTGGAGTCTACTTAAAATTCTGAAAATTTTGATTTTTTTTTTAAATTTGCTCCATTAAAAGTTTAGAAGAACTTGAATTTCTTATATTTGAAATTTGTTAATTATGGATTACATTTTGGGTCAATTTGTTTTGATTAAATGGACTTGAATAACTTTTTTTTTTTTGGACTTTCATACCTTGCTTGTGGTAGTCAAGTAGTTTCGAATATCTAGGTTTGGGATTAATAGACACGTAAGATATTTTTTCTTAGAGACTATTTGGTTCAACGATAAAGTATTGGGTGTAAAACATTTTATTTTGGTGCAAAGGTTTTGTATTAGGTCTTGTGGATAAATTTATAGNATCTCATCTTACCACACATCCATTTCAAATGCATTTTGGCCCCCACTCATTTCATGGACATGTCGGCCCTCAACTGCCAATTATTTGTCTCGTAGAGCATGGCAACCCAGCATCCAAATTTCTGTTAAAACAAAACAAACTCTAGAATATCATTGGATATAATTCTGAACATGTGCATGTGAAGGAGTCTTCTACGCAATATTAGTCACAAAAAGAGCTTTGACTAGAAGCATGTGACCTGTGAAGATGTGCATTACACGCATATGCCAACATCGAAAGAGCAATAGCACATGGTCGTCAGTCACAGTTTAAGCATTTGATGCCAGTGCACTCGATCTCCATTTTCAATTCTACCAATCAAATAAATCCCATATCCCACAAAGAATGAAATATTTATCAATACACAATCTCACTGTTTTGAGCCCTCAACCAAGAGGCGGCTTCAGTAAGAACAAATTATAAATTCAAACAAAAATAGCATCAATTGACTTTCAAATTAATACCACCATGCAAGATACATATATTTGAAGGCAAATATCTACTAATATACTGGATTTCAATACAACACAATTACACAACTTAATGTAACTTCCACAACACTGCAAAATATTGGAGTCAATGTCAATATTTAAAACATTATACATTACCCCACATCCTGCCTACTCCTATCTAATATTGAAGTCCGAAGATCAAAAGAATGAAGGAATTTTTTTTTTTCCAAATCCCAACTCATGGAAAATTTCATGGACAAAACTACATAGGATTGTTTAGGGTACCAACACATCTCGACATGATAAGTAATGGCAATCACCTAAATGGAATCTTTAATCATACAAGAGAACAGTGGCGGAGCCACATTGGGGGCAGCTGCCCCCACAGCAATGTTGAGAACTTTTGGAGTCTACTTAAAATTCTGAAAATTTTGATTTTTTTTTTAAATTTGCTCCATTAAAAGTTTAGAAGAACTTGAATTTCTTATATTTGAAATTTGTTAATTATGGATTACATTTTGGGTCAATTTGTTTTGATTAAATGGACTTGAATAACTTTTTTTTTTTTGGACTTTCATACCTTGCTTGTGGTAGTCAAGTAGTTTCGAATATCTAGGTTTGGGATTAATAGACACGTAAGATATTTTTTCTTAGAGACTATTTGGTTCAACGATAAAGTATTGGGTGTAAAACATTTTATTTTGGTGCAAAGGTTTTGTATTAGGTCTTGTGGATAAATTTATAGTATTTTTTCAGGAAGTATTCCTACAGGAATGATATTACAATATAATTCAAGATATACACAAATGGATACACACCCTTGTAGGGCCACATAGAGACTAACTACTGAAAAAATAACTCGATAAACTAAGTTGATTAAAGATATTACAAATTCTCTCACAACTCGAGTTAGTGAAAATATCTGTACAATAATTATAGATGCATAGAAAAATTTTTGCGAGTCTTTTTTGTTAGCTCTTTTATATATTATATGTGTATTGATTGCACCTCCAATTGACGTTTTAATGAAATTATGTCTATAAAAGAATTATTAATAATTTATCTTATTGTGGAAATAATATTAAAATTTTGAATCCAATTTATTGACGAACTTTAACTTGCCCCCACTATAAAAATATTCTGGCTTCACCCCTGCAAGTGAATGTAGCCTACATGCAACATTTCAGGCACTTTCGCTGATTTATGTCAATGTCATTGTGAGGCACCCTCTACCAGTGCCAATTGATAATATCACAATGCATAAGTGTAGAATATTAGCAGTATTAGCCTCCAGTGGGCCTGAATGATGCAATCTGTGGAGGGCACAGCTCGACTTCTAATGGATTATTTTTAAAATGAAACAAAGTATTTCCATACAAGGCCTTAGGTTTCACGATTCTGTAAGCAGCTTTATATATAATCATATCAACCACAGGAAAAAGGAGGAAGAAAACTCACTTTGATCAGTTAATAAACTAGAGAAAGCCTGAACTCATCCAAAGTACAATGTACATATATACAAACAGGGACCCTTGTCAAATCATGTATGCACACCAAATCCGTTTTGTCCCTGATAGTGTTACACTTACAATGCTGGGCCAAGACTCAGCTTGAACTAACCTCAGCACTGCTAACATGCATCTCTAATAATATACATCTCCCAGTAAAAGAGAATTTTCATCCAAAAGAAAACATAAAGCAAATAGACCAGAATTCATGTAACACTGGATTATAATGCTGCTAGTCACAACACTGGGCTGAAGTTCTAGGCTACTTATTGAACCATTTCAGTAAAATAGTGATGATTAACTAGTGTTTGGTACTTACATCTTGTACCCATCGAATCCCTTGAGCAATAATGTCTTCTCTGCGAAGACAATGAATTTGCCTTAAAAGCCAGTCATCAATTGCATCCTCCATCATCAACTGCAAAATTTGCTTTGATATCCAAAACACCTGTCTTCTGCATACGCAATTAGTTGAGCCAAGATGATGATCAGCATATTGTAAACAAGACTGCATCTCACATAACTTTTCACAAAGTTCCATCATTTCCACCTTTTCAAGTTGAGGCGGCTCAAAAAGGGATGAGAATGATGTTTGTTCACAGGGCAAACAAAAAACAACCACCTTTGTTTTTTTATCTTGTGTTGGATAGGACATGCTATAATTGTTGATAATGAAAATAAAGGAACACAATGTGGAGGAAAATGTGCTGTGAGCCAAGGAATATCCCTGTATAGAGTGCATTGTTCACGGGAAAAATTTTATATGTCTGTGTGGTGTGACTTCTGTTAAAGCATCCAAAATTAGCATTGAGTAAAGTGACAACACAAGGTTCGTGTACTAGTTTAGTATACAGTATTGAAGGAGACACTCTCCGTGCAAGTTAAACTGTTCAAGTTTCTGTACTGTAAGTCTTCTGACTAACTTTGGGATGTGTTTTTCCTTCTGATAAAATTGTGACCATTGCCTGGAAAACTGGATATTATATATTCAGTCCTCTCTTTGTGAGTTAGCAAGATGTTTCTTTGGGAACTACTCTGTTTTATGTTATTATTTAGCTTTTCAAGATGCTAAGTGCTACACTTTGTTCTTTTTTCTTGTATGTTTCTTGTGAGTAGACATTCACCTAGGCACAGCTTTAACAACCCTAAACTTTTATAACCTGATCATCCAACTTAAGTTATTTTTTTGGTTTTGTTTTTTGGAAGTTGAATGCCCGTGATACCTTGGTGAGCAAATGGTAAATTTGTGAGTCAATGAATGAGTTGATGGCAAACTGAAAGTGGATACCTGATAGTATTTTTCCCTCATTTTTTTTGTGTGTGTGCCTGCCAAGGGAATTCCAACTTACCAAATTCAATGGCTATATACTTTTTTGTAGAACTTTTTGGCATGATTCTAATCTTTTAAAGGAAGTGCCCGTATCTCAGTGTTAATACAGTACTTATCATTTTTGTTTATTTCATTAGGGGTAGTGTAGTCTTCTCTTATTCTAGTGTTTTATACAAATTTATCTTGTACCTATTTTTCATGTGATGGAATATCCGAGTGTGGTATCAGACCTAAGCATTGGGCAGTAAATGAGCCAAGTCTCTCACCCATTTGAAATTTTTTGTATGTTTGGTTGTCTGTTCCGCTGGATTTGTTTTCCCACATACGTCCGGGTCACACGTGAAGAAGAGTGTGCAGAGAGCTTGTACCTCACATCAAAATATGAGGATTGACATTGCAAATTAGTTTTGTGTTGAATGCTCTTGACACTAGTTTGAATTTTTCTTTTGTTTTGGTTTTTTGGTATGAGGTGGGCCCTATGGATTTCTTGCATTGAGCATTTCAATCATCCAACCCATTGCAGCCCTACTTGAACAAGCTCTCTGATCTCTATTCTCTAAAGAAGTAAAAGAAAAAAAAAACCCAAGAGACTATGTAATTAGTTTTGTATGCTTCCTCCCTTATATTTCCTCCTCTGCTGAACTTATATTCAATACAGTCAGTGTTGGTCCTATGTAACCATGACTCTATACCCAGTAAATTGATAAAGCTTTTGACCTGGGCTCGAATCCCAGCAACCACAATTTTGTTCCTTCAGGGACATCTAATAAAATTGGCCTAGGTTTTATTTATTAATTCATTTTGGGTTAGATGCTCTAACACAAGGGTTGATTTGTTGTTCTATTCTTCTTTTGTATTTGGTTTCTTGATATCAGGCACCCTATGGTGGTTCTTTCAATGTCACCTTAAAAGCCTCCCTTCAACTTAATAGGTATACTTTGATAAAAAAAAAAAAACTTAATAGGTATACACCAATTGCACAATACTCTGTAAGCACTTCACTCATCCATCCAATGACAACTTTACTTGAAGAAGCCCCCCAATCTCTATCTCTCTTCCTCTCTCATTCTCTCTCAACACGGCTAAATACAGCCAGCCAACCCCCCCCCCCAAAAAAAAAAAAGACGAAATACAAGCAATTAATTATGTCTGCTTCCTTGCTTATCCTTGCTTTACTGAACCTATATTTCAACAGCGTTGGTCCTATCTCATCAAGATTTAATAACTAGTAAATTGACCATGCTTTTATCTATTCTATAAGAGCATTCAACTCAAAATCAATTGGAAATAGGTAGAATGATCCCTCAAGTATATAAACAAACCTTGGGTCTACTTGATTTTTTGACGTGGGAGAGCTCTCTCTTCACACCTTCCCTTATGTGTGAACCGGACTCGCACGTGGGCTAACAAACCGAACTGAAACAGGCCAAAAAGCAAACTAGAGCTGAACCGAAACAAATATATAAATAGACGGATTAATTCAACTCGGTGAGAGACTTAGCCCACTAATTACCCAAGACGCAACTTTGATATCATGTTAAAGTATTCAACCCAAAACCAACTGGCCACCAGTAGACTGGTACCTCAAGTATATAAACCAACTTTGGGTCTACTTAATTTTTCGATGTGGAAGAGCTCTCTTCACAATTCACTTTTACTTCCTTTGATAGGCTAATTGAGCATGCAACCATTCAAGTGAAGACCCCATGACATATGTCCACTTCAGTTCTAAAGGATGACAAATGGTGGTTGAATGCTAGAGCTGAAAAAACATTATGATCAAGGATAAATAGGACTGTAAAAGAATATACGAGATGGAAGCTTTTAGATATTAGAAACATAAAAAAAGAATACAGAAATGGATGCCACTAAATACTGGGTGAGGTTTCTGCTCCTATTTTGCTTGCATCTTACTTAACTCGATGAATATCCCACTCTCTAACTTCCCATGTTGTGTTTCAAAGGTATATTACCCGTTGCAAGGAAATTATTTTAGAAAAATGAACGAACATGATCCATAATTACCGGTCCAAGAGTTCATGATTAGCTACAAACTTTTTACACCTTAGTTTGGCAGAATCTAAAGTCTCTTCCCCCCCCCCCCCAAAAAAATAAATAAATAAATAAATTACACAGAGAGAAACTGGGCTTCCAAGCTCCAACTTCCAATACAAATTCTAGATGTAACACTAATATTGTGGTGTCCTTATAGAGTGATAAAACACATCTCTATATTTATTCCACACATTTTCCAGTTTCATACAATAACAAACCTATGTCGTGACTTCGATTAACAAAAGCACTCAGATGGAATAACCAAAGCATATACAATCCAAGGCATGCTGTGACGAATAATACAAAACATAAGATCACTTCAGGATTCTTCTAACTGTGTGTGACATCATAAATTTCAATTATTCAGGAAAACTTAACAGAAATTGAGGGAAAAACTGGCTCACCTTAGCCAGCCTCTTCTCTTAAGTTGAAATATGTTATCCACTAGATTCAACACAGGTACGCTTAAATTAGGTGGTGTCCACTGCGAAAGAAATCAGCAATGACCAGAGCTTAGGCCTAACCAAAGACATGGGCTATCAAGAAATGAATATATAAACCAAACAAAATCTTTAATCAGAGAAGTTGATCACAACTTTAAACCAATAATCTCAAAAACCTGACAATTTTGTTTCAAAGCTTTGATTCTAATATACAATATCCAATTTCGACTTCTACCCTGAAAGTAATTATCGAACAAGTCTATTTCGCAATGCTATACCATGCTTCACATTAATAATAATTTATGAATAGAAATTTCTGTGGAAGTATTTTTCCACTATATTGAGATCAGCTAGATTCTCTGATGTTGCTCATATCATCATGACAAGAAGTTTCGAAGACATTCTTATAGAGACAGCACAGAATTTAACAATTTAGCCACAGATTAGAAAGAAGCCCATCGAAGAATAGCAATAACGAAAAGCCAACCCCCATGGCCAAAAAAGTGCTAACTACTCTATAATGAGAAACTGATTCAAAAAAGGTGGTAAATTTCAGTACAACCCACTAACTCGAACTTAACAAGGAATTAACGGGTTAATGTTGGTCCTAATGGATTACTGTCCAAAAAAGGATCACCCCATTTAAGATAAATAAAGCCAGGTCAGCTTTGTACCCAGATTTGACACCCATTTAATTATGCCTGCAGACCAGAATAACACTGACCAAATATAACCATCTAAAATAGGCCAGATTAAAAACCAGCCTTCATTTGCTTAATCTCGTGCCTCGTTTCTGCACCACAATCGAATGATATTTAGATCAAGCTTCTTGTTAAGGTCTCATCTCATTCATCAGCTCTCTCTCGCCCCCTTTTTTCTGTCTCGCATGCATGCGTATAGGTTTGTGTGACGATAAGAACATTATACATATGTTGAATGCAATATGTTTCTGTGTTATGTGATTCTTTGATTGTTCTAAGGGCTGAGATTTGGATGGCCGGACTGTTTTCTTGTACGAGCACAGGAAGCAAGTCCAAGGCAATGATACTGAACACTGTGCAGTGTCAACAGTCTGTCCATGAGCAAGGTCAACAATACTCCTCTTCTCTGTACAGGTTGACCAGTTTCATACATGAAAAAGGGGATAAACTTGTTGACATCGTGGGCAAGCAATCAAGGTCTCGTTATGGGATATTATAGTTCATCTATTATATGCTCAGACCACAATGCTGTACAAAATTTTAGGGGTTTTTCAATCTCTTAATGTGATATAAGAGAATCTCGTGCAGGTTATTTGCATGTTGTGTTGACCCGAACACTACTTGTATATTAAACGTGTTACGCCGATCGTGCTTTGGTCCAGTCATTTGACACAATTAATTAAATCCTAGATCACATAGAGCGGGAGAGGGAGCTAGGGCAAGAACGAAAATTTTCAAAAAATGTGATCTAGATTAAACCAGCAGTGTTTGGCATGACTATTACCAGACACGGCCAGAATGAGACACCACTGGACAAGAATCACTTGACACCCCTCATTCAAGCATCAACCAAGTTCAGGAGTTGAACTAGAAAAAGAAAAAAGTACCAACACTAAATGAGTCATACCTCTGGTGGCACTCCCATTGGATCCTCTAGCTGATCAAACCTTGATGGAAAATTTGCCACAGGATATCCACCAACATTAACTGATATAGATTGCACCCCTGAACCATGTTTCTTCCCAGAATCTAAGCTTGTGAACTCACGTTTGATAACTCGCGGAGGGAACCCCTTCAAGTTTAATTCATTGTCTGAATGCCATCCAGTGGCTTGAGCACTGGATCCTATGTCCTCATGGCCATGGCTTCCATCTTTATCACCATTGTCATTATCTGAAAAACTATTAGCTGACTCTGTGGTAGTTCGCCTTAGAACCAGTTTGTTTATGTCATCTGAATTCCAGGACAAGTTCTGGCCTGGAACTGAAAAAGCAGGTTCATAACTGGAAGATGGGCCAACAACTTTCCGCATTAAGCCATCTGAAACCCCTTTGAACTGGCGTACAATATCATCCATAGCATCATCCACATTTACTGTTTGGTCAAAAAAATGTCATTGTTGTAATAAGACAAACAATAAAAACAACAAAACATTTTACCAGAAAAATACAAAGGGAAAAACTAATTCAGCAGACTCCGACATAACAGCCCACTAATAACCAAATATAGGACATAACTGACATTGACATCATCAATAAATATGAAGAGGCTCCTTGTATAGTTCTACTGACAGAGTGCTTACATTATTAAAGTGCTTCACTACTTTAGTTCTCCAAAAAAATACACAGTACACGGTGGACCATCTTGGTGATCTTGACAGTTAAATGCTGACCTATAGACCAAGATGTGATTTATCCTGAACAATGTCCTATGCAAATAAACCTCATTGACCCATAGTAGCACACGTAAAACAGTTACTGATTATATGAATATCTCCTCCAACAGAATTTTGGGCAGACAACAAAAATTCTTCAAATCCAATTTACGGCAAAAGAAGTAATTGAAGAAGGAATAGTGCTAGGGATCCCAAATTGCATCCCAAATGAGTGTGGACTGTGGACCATTGGATCAATGGGTCCCATTGAAAAAGTTAACAGGACCATCGATCCAAGGGTCCACACTCATTTGGGATGCAATTTGGGATCCCTAGCATTACTGATTGAGGAAGTCATCCGCACACCCCAGCAAAAAGTTATCCACCAAGATATTTATATAAACTAGTAATTTAACCACAGAGGATGAAGCATTTACTGACACCTGAAAACTTATATCCTACCCCGAAGGAACTTGGTTAAAGTTGCAGCTCTACAATGCAACCACTTTTGAAGTTTTGACTTGAAAGTACTGAATCAATGAGTCCACCTTCCATAATATTTGATGAGCAACAAGTTGCAAGGGTTCACAAATGGATACCAATATATTAACAATAAACACCACATATATATGGACATTAACTAAAAGGCAAAACATGCATACAGAACCCTAACACTGAAAAGGAAGATGACATTACATCTCGGAGGAAAAACCACATACCTGCCAGAGTTCTCATCACTGAAGAAGATTTTCCAAACGAGTAATTCTGCATTAAAAAACAGTTACTAGTCTGATTTACTGCAAAAATCATTGTTGGTAATAAATTCATCTTCCATACACACCTTAGAGGAAACACTCAAAAAATCCCACACTTCATGCTGCTCAGCAACGTTAGCTATTGACAAGAGATCCTGATAAAGCAACGTGCTCAAAACAACTACAAATTGGAATTCCTTTATAAAAGATATGCAGAGCAAGGCAAGAATCATACTTGCAGATACTTATCAAGCTGAATGCAGCGCTGATGAACAAAAGCATCCTCTGTGCTCGACGAGAATATCCTCTTTGGAGGCAAATGTAATGTATAATTAGGAATGTCCTTAAGATGTCGATGCAATCTCTCAAAATTCCTGTATCTGCTGACAAAGTTTCAAACGATAAAAATGACTGAACAAATCCAAGGAACAAATTGAACGATGTTGGTCCAAATCTTAAAAAATTGTAATTGGCACTAGGCCAACAAACAAAGAAACATGTCCATGCAAAACCAACCAATTTCTCTAGTTACTCAAAAAAGGAGATTGAGACAATACCTTCTTTTCACAAACCAAGTGCTCTTGTCAGTATCTGTCACTGCAATTGAATAGACTGCAAAAGATTTTGACCCAAGTTTCTCAAAATATGCTCCTATAACCTGCAGCATTAAGAGCTGATAAGCAGCTATGTCATAAAAGAATTGTCAAGCAACTCATGAAAATTTTTCATTTACCATGCACGCGCTCTATTTCTCTTACAATTGAAATGCCAAAACTGAACAACTCATGACTCATGAACATTGTCAAGAATTAAGGGAAGTAAAAAAAAAGAGGAAGAAAAATAATCTTACCCGGCACTTAAGCTTTTGAACATGTGATCCCTCACCCAGTAGAACCATGTCTGAAGCACTCTTAATCTTCTGTACTTCACTACGACTACCAAAATCAGGGCTGTAGAACTCCGATATAATGGATCCACCAACCTTGCTCGTAAATGCATCTTCAAATGTTGGTTGAACTTTTAAATCAGAAGTGCTATTAGATCTTTTAAGCCTACTTTTGTTCCCACTAGAAACAACAGCAGTAGTATCCTCCAAATCATCAACAAGACAGACTCCACCAAAAGATAATTCCTTGTTCAAATCCTGAGACAAATGTATTGCATTAGTGTCTCGATCACTTAGTGGATGAGGCATTGGTGGCAACTGCACTAAATCTTTATCTTCCACCACGGTAGAATAAGAACTTTCAGGCTTCTGTGTTGATATGTCCTTCCCCAAAGCTTTTGTAGTCATGCCACTGTTTGTTGAACCCTTTGGTACAGGAACCTGAAGTCCTACAATAGCATTCTTCTGAAGCTTCTTCTTATAATTTCTTCCTTTGGTCCACATGTTGTCAAGGTTTTCAGGCATAAGAACTTCTGTTCTTCTCTGGGTAGCTGCCTCAAGGATTAGAGCCCAGTCAGCAGGCCGCCCCTGCATGAACTCATCTTGATTTGTGTTAGAGGACTTTCCAGAAGCATCTAGGGATACTTCTCTTTGATTGTCAGGTCTAGACACCGTCATATCGGTCCCTTGATTATAAGAAGGCGCACTATTTCCCAAAGTAGATTCACCACTTTGTAAACGGTCTGCAGCAACGGCATGATCATGGATGTGACCCTCCATATATGGCGACTGATTGCCTTCAGACTCTTTAACCTCCCCATCTTGGTTAGCAAGAAAAATATATTCAATCAACTCATTAATATACCTGGAAACCCCAAGAATTGTCCAATCAAAATGGTTGAAATTTTATAATGGCAGGATACATGCACCATTCATAAAATTAAATGCTTAACGCTCAAGTAAGCTTAATGATCGCAAATTCCATGCATTGGTGATCAATAAAAGTGAACAACAAAACAGTGCAGGTATGAGCACTGGGAAGTTTGTGAGATGAGAACAATCCAGACCTTTGCCAAACAAATAGGATACCACATATGCAATAAACCATGTCTTATACTACCATTGAATATTAGCTTCAGAAACAGATAACAGTACAACCTATGACATAATGCATGGTTTGAAGGGCAAACCATTATAAGCCTCTGCGTCCAAAAAAATATGTGTTCACTAAAATGGACTGTCCTCACAGATAATTACCATGAAGCCACCCATTAGAAGAAAAGTACTACCTTTAATAATTACAGTGCATACAAAATCTCCAATTGCTGGTCACCTACAATAGGTCTGTAAATTTATGGAAGTCAAATCCACAAAACAAGGTTAGAAGCTACTTTACACGCTTATTGAGCTGCTGATCTGTTGGTGATGGCAACTTGATCTAATGCAACAGCCATGCCTTATATGTACATCCCAGTAACTGAGCTTATATACACACCAAATTCACTTTTCCCCATACTATCAGTCTCCATTGGAGGTCCTCGGCTACTCATTGAGATACCAAAATGCTTTCTCTGTGCTTACATACATCAACTGTGGCTCATCTGTCCCTAGAAAACCAACTTTTTCTTCAACCCCCGTAAAGATGCAACATGTCCAATCAGAATTGAAATTACAGTGTGCCAAGCTAAGGTGAAGAAGACACATAATCACAATCACAGTTTGGGTATTTCAGCCGCATCTTGGAATGACATGACTGAAACCATGAAAGATTTGCACACACGAACAAAATATTCACAAGAAACCATTAAAGATTTGCTCCACTTCTAAGTTGATCTGCATTAGCTTTAAAACTTAGTACTCTAGTATGTTGTATGTTCACTTTTTTATCACATATGTAGTATGCGTATTGAGCATTTTAGGTTCAAAGCAGATGCCATGGAATTAATGCTATTAAGCATGTTAGTATTAGACTTTGATATAGAAATTTCTCTCACTTGCTAAGGTGGTTATTGAGATTTTCTTTTGTTCGCAAACTCAGTTGATCAGAGCTTTCATCCAGAAAAAAAGGATGTTCTGGCCAAAAGGGGTGCCTCTTCATGCGGATTATGTCAAAATAGTCTTTGTGCTACATTTTAGTGCTGTTTCTTAAAATCTTCAACATTCATCAAAGGAAAAAAAGGGACAAAAACTTTTTACAATATAATTGCAGTGGCTAAGTGTAGCAATTTTATGCCAATATCCTCAGGAACCTTTTTCTATAAGTTTCACTTGAATACTATACTTGCATTTGTAATTGAACACATATGAAATCATTCGTAAGTGCATCACTTTATCATGAAAACGCGGATATCTATCGCATGAGGACTAAAGAACATAGACTCACCCGGGACTAGCAAAATTCATAATAGGTTGCATCACCAAACAGGTTAAAAGTTCTCGGGCAATGCATCGAACAAGGGGGCACTGGGCTTCCCGTGGTCTCATTACTATTGCTAAGACTCCACCCATGAGCCGCTGAAGAACCTGTGAAAAGTAAAGCCTTAGATGCCAGATGCCATGCAAAAATAAAATCCCTGTGCAACTTTAAAAAAAAAAAAATCATCAGAACACGCCACACACACCTTGTACTCACACTCGGGAGATATCAGCGCAGGGTGAAGCTCCTTAGAAGCCATGAGATGGTATTTTAACCTTTCATCCCTCTCTTCAGAAGATAATGTTCCCATAACGTCCACCCCAATAGCAGTTTGATTTCTTCTGAAAAGGTCTAAGTGATCCCCTATTAGGTCTACCATATCCCTGAAAAGATGGACAAAAATTGGGTGCCATTATTCAAGTAGTGAGCCATACAAAACCTTGAAAACCTTAATAAAGACGTTTTTAAATAATATGGGAGGGAAGTGTTTTGGAAGAAATCACCTTGTAAGCAAGTCAACAAGGTTTATTTCTTTGCCTCTTGCAGAAATTTCACCAAGAACATCCATGATTATTGCATGTATCAACTCGGGGGCCTCCTTGTCGGGCGTGATATCTGAATACCACAAATCTACAACGAAATCTTGCAAAAGCTTGTTAATAAAGTCCTCCATTGCAGCCTCTACTAAAGGAGAATCAATTTTTCTCTTCCATTTAGGCGGTGGCGGTGAGGTAGACAGACGAGAATCATTCACAGACAATTGCTTCTTTTCTAAGTGTGACAAATATGTCTGTCGGCGGACATTTCGAACCTTCCAAGTGAACTCCACCTCATTAAATAAAATTCGAAATCCAGAGACCAATAGAAGTGTTACTGGAACATTCATCCACATTGATTTACTTGTGTCTGCAATGGACAGTTAAAATTCCGAAACATTAAGACAACACAACACACTCACATACCTAATAAGCCACATATATCCAAAGAAAGAAGCCACCAGAATAACCACAAAATGGCCCACCAGAAAATATTATTAGAATGAGTTAAAAGTGATTATCATAACCACATTCCTTTTGGGATTGGTAATTATTGCCTGCATCTAGTAACACCTAGGCAAACATAATCTAAACTTTGAGATGCAACTATTCTTAATAACTTGGAACTGCAGAATACAGTGAGCACAATTCAACCATTTGACCAACTTGAGCTTAGTTTTCATGTAAAATGTTTAAAGAGAATGAACCTAATCAAGTTTAGTGATTGGAGGTTTAATACGATTCTATCCGAGAGTACAGCCAGCAGCATGTTTCCAGCCAAGGGATTGCCAGCGGCGTACTGCTGGAGTGACAGTCTTAGCAACAAAGAAATAGTGTTAGGGGCCTTGTATAATATGAGACACGGGACTTATACTTCAGTATTTTACTATCATGGGAGTATTAAAAGCCCCAGAAAAAAGCCCAAAATTGTTCATCAAACCAGCTATGATTATTTTGAGTCAGAATATGTTTATCGTTTGGTATCATCCCTCCCACCAAACAAACATTCTTTTCATTGGAAGAGCACCTTCTAGCATGTGCATCCAATCTTGTTTTCACACTTCTGTAGTCTATAAAGGCATGATTCTACTTTGGAAGTATGGGTGTATCAATTAGATTAGAGCAGGACCTCGTGATTTGATAAAAGAGTAAATGGCACGTTTGTTAGGAAACTTGTGTATCAGTGTTTTGAATTTTTCCAAGCCTAATAACAGTCATTTATAATCGTTGTAAAGACAATGGCAACGGTAATTTAATTGATTAATGACATTGTTGTTTCAAATTCTATCCTTATGGACTTCGGGAATTGGGAGGCTCTCCTCTCCATTGGATTTTTTTTTTTTATTTCCTCTTCATTGGACTAATAGAAGTTGCCCTAATCAAAATCCTAACTGGGATCAGGAAAAAGATTATTCCGGATCATAGTATGAAGTCAAGAATATGTTGATTCACACCAACTGATTATCACACCAAGATTAGGAAACAAATACGAATAATTCACCATCGAAGACAAAAAAAAAAAAAGAAAAAGAAAATGCAATCTGTCTGTTATAAATACGGAGTTGGACCAAATTGGAGAAACTTACGTGATAAGAAGTAAGAGATAACGAATATACACAGAACCCACCAAACCGTTCGAACTTTAGCTTCTTCGATCAGATCTTGCAAAGTCTCCATAGCCTTCATTGTCTTGAATACCCTATAAATCTACAAGAACCCTAAATTTGATTTTTAAAAAAATAAAATTGAAAAAGACAAAAATCTCTCGTTTCAAGTCTTCATCGGCAATATTGACCAATTCACAGGAACATTATTGAGTTAATAAACCATTGTCTTCGATACCCTGAAAATCTCCAAGAACCCTCAATTTGAATTAAAGGAACACTTGAAAAAGAGAGAAAAATATTCCCTCGTTTCAAGTCTTCACCGGCAATATTGACCAATTTACATGAACAACATTGAAGCCCTCTGGCTGTAAAATATGTGAGCTAATAATAAGCAGTCGATCTTTAAGCAAACGGAAGTGTGTGTGTGATTTCTTCTTCTTCTTTTTCTCCCGGTGAAAGTGTTTGTGTGCGATTCCTTCGGCTGAGCCTTTTTGGTTCCTTTTTAGGCCTTTGGGTCGGTCTAAGGTGGAGGAGAGAGAGAACGTCGGAAAGAAAGGTGTGAAATCGTCGTTATTCGTTGTGATCACGTTGCTTTTTCTTTTTTATTATTTTCTAATGACAAAATAGGGATGAGAAAAACACAAGAATATAAACAATAATGCTTATTAGATATTTTTTTTATTACAAAGTGTCCCGATTTGCAGCGACAAGTTTAAAACATGTTTGCGAAGAATAAGGATGATCGGCCTTTAGAGAGTATAAAATGTATTGAATCCGATAACTTCTAAATTACGAAACGCAAGACTTAATTATTGTACCACTCTTAAGTCTAAGACCTCTATTCTTGTCGATTTAATTTTGACATAATTTATTGATATAATTTATAGATCTAATTTATTACGACTATTTGATTAATTATAGGTCCCAATAAATATTGAGTTTACTGTCAATTCAATAATTATGAATAATTAGATCAAAAATTAAAGTATAAGCAACATTGTTCTTATATAAAACTAAAATGAACTGATCATCGAGTGGCATGATCTAATAGAGTATTGGTCGAACTTCTCACCCTAAAGTTAGAGGTTCAAGTTTTTGAATCCATATTGGAGTTCGATGGTTGACTATTATACTAACCTACCTAAGTTCATTATTTAGAGGTGTAATAGGTGCGATCAAGAGTTCATGATTCCACCAATAAAAATCTATCGGGGTGAAATACTTGAGAGGTCTCTTCGCCTCCACCCCTTTTTCCTCTAGCAAAAAAAAAAAAAAACTAAACTGAACTGAACTGAAAGGATGTATTGCATTGTAGATTTGTCTGGGTTAAGGGACTTTTGATTGTTTTATCCGAATTTGATTCAAATCAATCAAATGTGTTTATCTTACAAGGGTGCAAATATTCTTTATCAATACAAAAATGTATAGTTTAAACCTTTTGAAAAACTTATACATTGAGTACGTATTGATATGATCACGTCTTGGTTGAGTTCTTACGTATCATCCCTTACCTTTTTTCAAGAAAAAAAAAATATATTTATCAAGTTGGATTAAGAAATTAATAATAGGGGGACTAATGGACCTATCATAGTCTTCGTCTTCTTGACTTTCCACACATGTAATCTTAGTCCTATAAATTCCCCACCCTTTCCAACGAGAGTGGCCCTTAGTCTCACTCATCTTTCGCTCCCACTTGGAAGCTACAAGATTCTTTTTTTTTTTAATTCATATTTGTGTAATATGTATATAATAAAGTAGAACGAAGTTTAAATTCAAAAGATAAAAAAGGGTACAGATCGTTTTGAAACAAAACATAAACACATACAACGGACAATATAATTTTAACATAAAAGACGGTTCAGATCATTTCAAAAAATTTGATCTAACGGTATACAGTGAATACTAAATTTTTTTTCCTGCCTAACAACATTTTCNCACATACAACGGACAATATAATTTTAACATAAAAGACGGTTCAGATCATTTCAAAAATTTTGATCTAACGGTATACAGTGAATACTAAATTTTTTTTCCTGCCTAACAACATTTTTTGATTCACACCACTTTCTCTCTCCTCTCACGGTTCTCATATCAAATTTTTCTAACACTCCTATCTCTCATCTAACTGTCTCCCCTTATTTCATACTAACTGATACAAAAGACTCATATCTCTCGTCTAACTATAACTCTCTCTCCATCTCATCATAACTCTCTAATTTATTTATTTAGTTTTAGGTGACAAGATGGATGACTGTAAACTTCAAGTGTATATTTATAAAAATCANTTTATTTAGTTTTAGGTGACAAGATGGATGACTGTAAACTTCAAGTGTATATTTATACAAATTTATATTTTTGAGGATAAAAATCAATATTTTTTATCTTTGAAAATATAAATTAAAAATTTGAGAAATATTTTACCCTATAAAAAAATGGAAATAGAGAAAGGGCGAAAAAACAAGGGCAGTGCCTAAACTCTCCGTCTGCCAATTCCATTCCCCATCGGACCAACGTGGTTCCATCGGATCGGAGAAATAGAAACACAGCTATCAATGGCGTCATCTTCTAGCAGTGGGCTAACATTCAAGCTCCACTCACTGGTAATTGTGAACATATCGGATCACTACACTAGGGTCAAGTCTCAGTCTCAACCTCCTCACTCTGCCTCCTCCAACGGTGGTGACTCCGTCACTTCTCCACCTCCTCCTCCGCCCAGGGTCTTCGGTTGCATCATCGGCATGCAAAGGGGTCGCACCGTCGAGATCTTCAACAGCTTTGAGCTTCTCTACGATCCCTCCAAACATTCTCTCGATCATGCCTTCCTCGAGAAGAAACAAGAGCTATGTCAGTCCTTTTCAACTCTCACTCACTCACTCACTCTCTCTCTATATATATATATATCATATTTTGGGGTCTTCTAATATGTCGATAATTTTTGTGCAGCAGACAAGAAAGTTTTTCCTAATTTCTATATACTGGGATGGTATTCGACTGGGAATGATGCATAGGAATTAGATAGGCTTATCCACAAAGCTGTAAGTTTGTGACTTTGCTAAAGTTTAACCTCATGCTCTTGATGCACATTTCATTCATGTACGACTACTACACCCATACACCTTTTCAATTTGAATTAACTTGAATCAGCGTGCTACCATTGTTGTGCACTCCTTAATACCATATTTCGTATATGTAATGTGACAATGATATAATTTGATTGTTGGCATTGGTTTGTGGCTGTGACGTGACATTGCAATTCATATTGCAAGTGCTTATGTTTTTGTTGTAATTAGGCTTCTTTAGTTGTGCAGGCTTCTTTGTTTTCAGTTATTGGAGCTGCAGGTTCTCAAGTGCTAACTCACCCGACACACCTCCAGTAAGTTAACTATCTCCCGATAGCCCTCTCTCTCCCCCCTTTCTCTCTGGCTCTACCTTGTCCCTACAACACACACCAAACACAATATCGAGGGTTAGTTTAGTTAAATTTGGTTTGATAATTGAGTTGTTTATCTATTTGAATTGTCGTGTTTTGTTAGATTCTTGAATAAATGGTTTGAATGTGCTTCTTGATTGTGGATCATATTATTGTGCTTAATGATATTGACTTTCTTTTAATTGATTGTAGTTTATTAATACACAGAAACCAGGTGTCGAGAAACTGTTGATGATGGCTGATAGAATCATAATCATTTTTACGGGGGATAGTCATTAGCTTTTTTACTTGGTCTCTTTTTCCCAAGTATTAATTTTACTAGTATTTAATGGTCTATGCAATCAGCAAATTTCTTTCTTAGTAGGAAAATTGTTGTATGAGATGTTGATTTGAAATGCTCTTCATTTGTTAGTTTTCATGTATGACGTGTTGGTAATCACTAAAGCATATTATCTATGTTTTTCTTTTGGTTTGGATTTTGGTAAAATTTAATTTGTTTATATTTGTTTTGTTGTAGTAAATGGTGAGATTTGCTTGCTGCAAATTTCTTTTTTGTATTGTAGCAAAATTGAAACTTTAATTCGACTTTGGAATTTTGTTTCGGCATTGGACTTGACAGGGTTAGGCCAAGTGTATACATTTTCTCTTATGGATTTTATTTTCTGAGCAACCTATATTGTCATGGGAATGCTTTTGGTTTATTTTATAAAGTGTTGGAAGCTATCAAGATAATTAGCTTGACATTCTAATTATTTGTTTTGCATTGAATTTATCCAATGAGTTTTCACTGAATATTTGCACCAAGCTGAGGAAATTGACAAAAATATTTGCATCGATTGTAAGGGCATGGGTTGGTAGAGGCTAACTATGAGGGGCTTATTGAGGTTTTGTTGTTCAACCACGCATGATGGTTTTTTTCATTGGACATAGACTAGCACCACCGAGGGATTCACTAAGATAATTAATTTTTAATTGTTAACTAAATTTGGTTTGATAGTTGAGTTAGTTTTCATGTTTAAATTTTGTGCAAATGTGAATTTTTGGGAGGTTTTGAATTTTTCGAATTTCATCAAAATTAAAGTATTAGTTATTGGAAATAATAATTATGTTTCAGTTTTTCCCTAATGAATGTTGAAACTGATGTTAGTTTTTTAGTAAGCTCGGAACTACATATTTGATGGTTGCTGAAGAACTCATTACTAGCAAAGATGCCGCTAACAATTTCACAAGACACCACTACACAAGTAAGAAAATTTTCCCTCTCATTTGATAATTAGTTTTTGTTCGACAGTTGGGAAAGAGATTGAAGATTTATTGGGTCATATTTGGTTCCAAAGTCTTGCTGAGGTGAGATGGTTTTTCACTAACCAAGATCACTCGTCTTTTTCATCTCATATTCTAGGAAACATACTTGTTGATTCTATTGAGTTTTGTGGCACTTGCGACGAAATTTGGAACAGTGCTATAATTATCAGTTTTAAATCCGCTCTTAATAATTTTGTACTTTTCACTTATCTTATGGGAATTTGTTATTTTCAATTGGTTGACCTAAGTGAATCTGTGCCCAAAAGTTGCATTTGTGTTTTGAAGAAGACGATCATATGATATGTAATTTATAGGCCAATTTTTAAATGAGTTCATCATATTTTCTTGAATTTGATTTTTATGAAATTTGTTTTTGTTTTTTGAATATGAATTTTAGTTTAATGTGAGTTTGGATTGTAGTCCCTCTAAATTGGAATTTGGATCGGTATTATTTGTTGTATAAGGTTGAAGGGATAGTAGGTTGCTTATTGTGAGGCTAATATGTTAAAGAATGAGGCATTGATAGCAGCAATCATTACAGTTTTGCTAATACATGTTCGTAAAATTATGGTTAATTATCATTGTTAGTGGTTAATATTATTATGTTGTTGTGGTAATCGTGTTATGCGAGTTGTGTCAACTTAAACATAATCCATGTACTATTAAAAGGGTTGGTAACATACAATGTCAACCCGGACATGACCTCTTAATTTAAATATATAGACCATCTTCGAGTTTTGAGCGAGTTATGTTAGTATTATGTCATTCGACATGATTAACTAAGCAGACTGTGTTAAAGCTGAGAAGTTTTTGACATGAACTTGAAATAACACAACACAATATGATATGACACGATTCAGTTGTCACTCTACTTCATGCACAATAGGGGATTTTTATTTTTGTGCATTCATGCACTAGCAATGTCTTGTTATTTTTTTTTGTTATATAGTGCCTTCAGATACGGACAATTACTAGTGTAAAATTCGAGCATTTAAAAAAAATGATCCCACTATACGAAATAATAATTTTTTATTTATTCGTTTCTTTCATTATATCACTTAAAATTAATTTTTACCTATTATTTTTTTTAAAATAGCATTCAAATTTTCTTAAAATATATAACTCGACAAAATGCTTTCAACACGTGTACACTATCGTTTATGAAAACTGTATGAAATAAAAATTATATTAAATTATAAATTAATTAAATGTTAAATGATTGAACATGTGATAAAATTGAATGATGTGATATTTTTAGGGAGAAAATATATAGAAAATAAACTTTCAAACTATTATGTGTTTTATTTTATATATATACTAGTTATTGACTATGCCTGAAGGCACAGAATAATAAAAAAATGGTTAATAATAAACATATTTGTATTTACATCAAAAATCAAATCACAAACATAGAAGAGAGATAAAAAAATTTAAGCACTAGTTCTAATGGGAGTGAGAGATGGTGGGCGACAGTGGTGGTTGTAGGAAACGATGATGGTTGTGGTATGTGGCAAATGTGATTGTACTAGTGGCAGTCATGGGTGACGAAGGTGGTGGTGGTAGGTGACGGGTGATGGTTGTTAATAGTCGTGGTGGTGGGGTGTCAACGATGGTGGTGGAGGTGGTAGGTTGTGGTGGTAAGCAATGATGATGATGGTGGTGGGCGATGACGGATACTTCTGGACGACAATATAATGGGTGGTAGCGAATGACGGTGGTGGTAGGAGTGGCGACAGTGGTAGGTGTGGTGAGGGTGGGGTAATAATGGTTGTTGATGGCGAGTAGCGGTGGGGGCAACAATATAGTAGTGGTGGGTGGCGACGATAGTAGTGAGATGATGATGATAATGGTAATAAATATAAGCATAAGATGACGATGGTGATGATGATAGGGTAATGGTGGGGGTAATAGTGGCGGTGGCGGTGACGGTGGTGGTAGTGGTGATGGTCGTGGGGTGATGGGGGTGGTGCTGGTAAGGGTGATGGTGAGATAACAACGATGGTGGTAGGATGACAGCAACGGTGGTAATGGGGGTGTAGTAGTAGGGATGATGATGGTGGGATAGTGGGGGTGATGGTGGCGGGGGTGACAGTAGTAGGGATGACGGTGGTACTGCTGGGGTTGGTGATAGCGACGATGGTTATGTGACGGTGGGGGTAATAGTAGGGTGAGGGCAAAGGTGGTGATGATGGGGTGGGGGCAATGATGGTAGTGGTAATAGTGGTGTGGGTGGAGGTGAGACGGGGGTGGAAGTAGTGGTGGGGGTCATTGTGGTGGTGGTGGGGGCGATGGGGTTAGTGTTGGTGGGGCAGTGGGAGTGGTGGTGTGACGGTTTTAAACACTATTTTTTTTTATTTAAAGTAGTTATAAGAAGTTATAAATCCTATAGTATTGTCCTATTAAATTTAGGGCGTTAATATTAGCCGTCAGATTAATTTTAAAGTAAAATTTAAAAGGATTTTAAACGCGAAATGCAAAAATTATTTTGTTATTTTTTGAGATTTGAATTGTATTATACTTTATTATATATATATACTAGTTATTGTATGTGTCTGAAGGCACAACGTAATAAAAAAAATGATCAACAATATATATATTTGTACTCACATCTAAAATCAAATTACAAATATAAAGGAGAGACAAAGGAATTTAAGCACCGATTATAGTGGAAGTGAGCGATGGTAATGGTGGTGATAGTGGTGATGATGGTCGGGGGATAGTTTGGTGGTGGGGCGATGGGGGGTGGTGGTAATGGTAATGGTGGTGGGGGGGGGGTGATGGTAGTGGGGTGATGGGGGTAGTGGTGATGGTGGGATGGTTTCAAACACTATTTTAAAAAAAAAAAAATATTTATGAGAAATTATAAGTATTATAAACACTTTTAAAAAGTCACATCAAACACACTTTTAGAGTCCTATTTTTCTTATTAAATTTAGAGTGTTAATATTAGCCGTCGGATTAACTTTAAAGCAAAATTGAAAAAGATCTCAACCGCGAATAACAAAAGTCATTTTATTTATCTTTTGAGATTTGAATTGTATTGTACTTTATTATATAAATTAGTTATTTCCTGTGTCTAGGCACGGAGTAATAAATATATTTGTATTCACATTCAAAATTAAATCATAAACAAAGAAGAGAAAAAAAGAAATTTAAGCACTGATGGTAACAGTTGTGAGCGACAATAGTGGTAGTAGACAACAATGGTCGTGTTAAGAAACAATGATGATTGTGGTGGATGGCGACAACTGTGGCAACTGTGGGTCGCAACGG